CAAGAGGCCCATGATCACTCTGGATGAACTGCAGATAACTACAGCTGAGGTGGGAGAGTCTGTCCATAGGACAACAATCAGTCGTGCACTGCACAAATCTGGCCTTTATGAAAGAGTGGCAAGAAGAAAGCCATTTCTCAAAGATATCCATGAAAAGTCTCGTTTAAAGTTTGCCACAAGCCACCTGGGAGACACACCAAACATGTGGAAGAAGGTGCTCTGGTCAGATGAAACCAAAATCGAACTTTTTGGCCACAATGCAAAACGATATGTTTGGCGTAAAAGCAACACAGCTCATCACCCTGAACACACCATCCCCACTGTCAAACATGGTGGTGGCAGCATCATGGTTTGGGCCTGCTTTTCTTCAGCAGGGACAGGGAAGATGGCTAAAATTGATGGGAAGATGGATGGAGCCAAATACAGGACCATTCTGGAAGAAAACCTGTTGGAGTCTGCAAAAGACCTGAGACTGGGACGAAGATTTATCTTCCAACAGGACAATGATCCAAAACATAAAGCCAAATCTACAATGGAATGGTTCACAAATAGACGTATCCAGGTGTTAGAATGGCCAAGTCAAAGTCCAGACCTGAATCCAATCGAGAATCTGTGGAAAGAGCTGAAGACTGCTGTTCACAAACGCTCTCCATCCAACCTCACTGAGCTCGAGCTGTTTTGCAAGGAAGAATGGGCAAGAATTCCAGTCTCTCGATGTGCAAAACTGACAGATACCCCAAGCGACTTGCAGCTGTAATTGCAGCAAAAGGTGGCGCTACAAAGTATTAGCGCAAGGGGGCCGAATAATATTGCACGCCCCACTTTTCAGTTTTTTATTTGTTAAAAAAGTTTAAATTATCCAATACATTTTGTTCCACTTCACGATGGTGTCCCACTTGTTGTTGATTCTTGACAAAAAAAATTAATTTTTATATCTTTATGTTTGAAGCCTGAAATGTGGCGAAATGTTGAAAGGTTCAACTTTCGCAAGGCACTGTATTATAGATGCCAGAGTTAGAGATTTTGTTTTATTTTTATTAGGACAGCTACTGTTCAGGCAACGTGTGCTGTGTGCTCCCTCCCACACTGAAATTTCCCCACTGTGGGACAAATAAACGATCTCTTAATCTTAATCTCATCCGCTCATCACTTCAGCTTCCTCCACCTTCAGTTCACTTTGGAGAGACCCACGAGGGAAAATGCAGTTAGAAGTTTAAGATTAAGCATGTTTGGCGCCCTAGGCCCGGGAGAGATGCTGTTGAGCGCGGCGCTTGCTCGTGCGCATAATCCCCCCCGGGGCCTAGGCACTGGTGGCGGCAGAGGCAGTAGGCAAGCACGCTTCGATGAGAAAAGGAGGAGGTGGGGCGGCGGAGGCTTGCAGACTTCAGAAGGCCGGGAAGTGGGTGTCTCCGGCTTTTAACTTGCTGTCCTGGTGGTTATTGGATGATTAGATGTGGGCGTTGCTGGTATGATGAGTCGAGGATGAGCAGGCTTGTAGATCTGGGCAAGCAGCAGCCGGGTCTACCACAGTGAACTTTCGCGAAAGCTCCATTTCACCTTGGAGAGACCCACGAGGGAAAATGCAGTTAGAAGTTTAAGATTAAGCATGTTTGGCGCCCTAGGCCCGGGAGAGATGCTGTTGAGCGCTTGCTCGTGCGCATAATCCCCCAAAAAGCGGGCCTGCGATGGGATAGCAGGACGCACTGCGCAGGCCTGAGAGCCTGCGTGCGAGGCTTCTCGCACGGTCGCTCAGCCAGGCTGCGTCCGCTGGGCATCTTTGAGTGCTGAGAACGTGAGCGCTCGCATCACGTTTAGCCAGACGCTGTAGCAGGGTTATCTTTGAGCGCTGAGAACATGAGCATGAATTTTTTTTAGTTTAAATTAAATTAAGTTTCTTCTAGGGTCCAAGCACCAAAACCACATTCACCACGTCATGTATGTGGTCATTAAATGTTTCATCATGCAGTAACCAATACACTCCATACACCTCCAAACTCACCATTCAAATTCATTTTTTTTTCAGATAAAAATGGTTTGTGACCTTAATCCAGGTATTGGTTAAAGCCAGTTTTTTAAATAATTGACATTGAATTCAATATTTTTTCCTTCATTTCAGTACATTTGAGTGCTTTAGTAGTGTTTAGTTAATCGGTTAATGTCAGAAAGCATTTACTGTTTATATGGTTTTACTTGTTTTAAGATGTTTCTGACTGTTTTCTCTCTCTTAGGTCAAGCTATAATGTTTTGTCAATGTGGAAAGAAGAAATACACGTATTGGCAAATTTAAAGAAAAATCTTGTAATGGTCAGAAATGTCTATTATAAATGCCTATAACATAAATTCAATTAAGCAAAAACACATGGGAAAAAATGCTATTTACATAAAAAGTCATTTTAAGCATGACCCTATAATACATTTTGGAAGTATAAATCCAAATCTTTCTTTTAAGCTTTTGAATGCTTCTGACAACTCAATGTGCTATATAACGTTCCCTGCATAGTTTTAACTGGAGTCCTGCCAGCTCAGCCCCACAAACTCACTTCTTTGAAGCAGACTGCGCCGTGGCTCACTCAGACTTCTCACTCCCAGGTCTTCTTCATGTTTCAGATGTGGTGCTGACAATTTTACAGCGCAGAATTTGGGAACATTGGTCATGAAGTGTGGCCAGTGACGTCACCACCAGCTTCTATCACTAGTTCAAAGTTATCTCCTCTTAGTTTTCTGGGTCCTCCTATAGTGACAGACATAATGATGGCATAGATGAGATGTTTGAATGAATAAATCAGAATGACAATTACAGGGAAATGAGCTATTTGGCTGCAAGGCATGATAAATGTTCCTTTTTTGTGATCAATTTTTCAGTGTAACTTCTGAAGAGCACAGCAGATCATTATCCAGTGCACGTCCTCACTGTTCACATTTCAAATGTCTAGTGTTAAAGATGTGTATACTGCTTAAAGTATGCCTGAAACTGTTGAAGGGAATGTGGGTGAGAGCAATTCCCCAGTGGATTATTACTGCAATGCTAAACTCTCCACTCCAAAATGTTTCTGTGCATGTATTTAAATTAACGGTCTCACGAAGAGGGAAATTCCAATGTGGTGACAGCCTCTCACATCACACTTGACAGCCAACCTCGTTAAAACACACAATAGTTCTCAGACGCTGATCGATGGCTATTGACCACTACGAATGGATCGGCTTCACCTGCATGCATTATCAATGATGCAGGGTTAATCCCGTGTGCTGGAGAGACGGAGCAGAGCAGAGGAAGAGAAGGGTGGAGAGATGAGTCTGACATCCCAGTCACTTGCTTAAATGAAACATCTCAAGATACTGTCCTTAACTGGTTTTGTTTTCGCCCACTAGCTCTGCTCGAGTCTCTATTATCTCCTGCCTGAGTGTAGCCCACTCCCACGCGTGACAGGAGATCTGGGGGGACTTCTAATAATTTTTTTTATGTTTGCTAAAATTATTTTTTATTTAATCTATTGGAAAAAAAGCCTTAGATGATAGTAATAACATTTCATTTTTTTTAGTACTTTTCTGGACACTGAAAGATACTGCAACTGGCTTCAGTGGTGACGCCTCACTGAAGGAAAAACTGTGAACCCTTTAGAATGTGGGTAACTACTGTAGTGTCACAGAAAGTGCTTGTGCTTCACAGCAAAGAAGGTCCTGGGTTCGGTTCCATCGACAGCCAGGGCTTTCTGTGTGTAGTTTGAATGTTCTCCCCGTGTCCGTATGGAGGTGTGTTCATTTATATGTGACAAGGTGGCACAGTGGATAGTACTTGTGCTTCACAGTGAAAAGGTCCTGGGTTCAGTTCTACCTCCATGACCTTTCTGAGTGGAGTTTGCATGTTCTCCTCGTGACTGCGTAGGTTTCCTCCGGGATGGAAATTAGCTATGTAGCTACAAACTGGTGTATTTACAGCTCCTGCTGGCCATTAATATGCACGGTCCCTTCCAAATGAACCAATAAACACAAGAAATTCTTTTGTAGTGCACTCTCTGTAAAAAACTGTATACAAGTTTTGCTAAGACCTAAATTAGTAATTACAAAATATTGTGATTTACTAAGATAGAATTGCTATCATCCACAATTATTCAATGATAATTGAATGAATGTCTAGAACTGAACTGGTGGCATAGTCTATTAAAATATGCATTTTATTACAGGCAGTACATGATGACATAGATGCTGAAGACGTGTGCATTACGCACAATTGACGTCGTACTCTTTGGACTGACGCAAGGCACATCGTACAGGGGACGTGACCACTCAAGGTTTTGAATTGGAATGACCCAAAATATAAATAATAAAAGTATTTTTTCGAATTTTGTTATACATTTGTATTAAATATATTTTTCTTAAACAGACCACTGTAATGAAGTAATAACCATAACGCACATTTTACTTGGAGGTGCACAAAGCCAACACACACACGACGCAGCTGCAGCGAATAGCGCGCACACACTGAGCCGGAGCCCAGTATAAAAGGGGCCAGTCTCCCAATGAGCGCACAAGTCTCTCCACTCTCACTGCTCCGACAGACACGGCAGCTTTTTCCAAGGTAAGCACAAATAATATTATAAAAGAGATGGCTGATTTTTGAATGATTGCCCTTATTAAGAAAAGGTTTTGTAGATAATAGCTCATTTTATTCACATAAAGTTATAGCGCATGAATGTCTGCCTGTCCCCTTCCTGTTTGGAACTGTAGATTCTTTGGAATAACAGCTTTCTCAATTCGAAAGATTAAAAAAGATTCAAAGATTTACATTTTGTCTATTCAATTTTCCAATGAAATTTTTTTAAATTTCTCTTGTTATTGATTAATACCTTAACTATATCAAAAAAGGAAGAGGTCCAGCATGATTAAATTAAAGTTAAAGGCTAGAATATTTAGAATATATATATATATATATAATGCATCATTAAATTTCAAAAATAATCTTTTTTAATGAATTATTAATATACAATTCCCCTGTGTCCCAGATGACTGCGGGTCTGTGTGTGTGCGTCCTGCTCGCGGTCTTATGTACGAGCTGTTTGGGGCTCCCCTTCTCCACACCGCACCTCGACCAGGGACAGCGCTCTGTCTCTGCCCCAGCTGAGGGTAAGTTCACACAACTACACCTCTGTACTATAATAATGTCCTCATCCCATAATAATCTCCTGATCATACTCCTACAGCTCGCCCTGACCCCAACCTGGCCTCGTTTGGAGAGACTCACACTCGACACAAGCGCTCCATCTCTCAGCTCAAATCTCTGCCCGCCACTGAAGAGGAAGCAGACTCCAGAGCCAACCTGAGCGAACTGCTGGCTAGGATAATCTCATCCAGAAAAGGTATCATTCCTCACATCCGGATTGATAGTTGAATGCATTTATTGCTTGTGTTTTTCTGTGGTTGACATGTGGCCACAGCCTTGTTGACTACTTAGTGCTTTTTCCTGCTGCCTTCCACACTGGTGCTAATTACTTGCAATCACTACAGTGGTGCTTTGTAAAATGAATTAGTGGTCTTGAAAAGCTTTTGTGGTTTGAAAGTGCGTGTAGAGTCTTCCGGGCAACTGGCTCTTTACTAATCTTACTTTCATCTTTCACCCCAATTGAAGAATACGATTCTTCTTAAACGGTTATAGAGCATATTCTCACTGACAAGTTTGAAGGTTTGATGGTTCCAGAAGGCACTTCGAGCGAATGTCAGGATAATATTGGGACCAATCCTTCTTAAATAACCAATGTATCTTAAATACACATAACATTTTAAACTGAGGTAATGTGCTTGTCATAAAAAGGTAATTTGGAGAACATTATGTGATAGAGGAGTCAAATGGTTCATTACCACAAAATAAAACAATCTCCAAATGTGTGTGTGTAATGATGGTGGGTGTTGAATTGCTTGCTGTTCACTTGCATGCTTCGTGGTGGGAGGTGTCATCGTCGAGCCTTCTGCAGCCAGGCTCCTAATCTCGCCAGCTCTGTTTATATGCGTGCATGTGTGCGTAGGTGGCTGTCGGTGGGATGGAGATCAAAATCATTGTGTGAGCATAAAATTGATTACCAATACATCAGCACTTCAAACTTTTTCACAGTGAAGGACTTTCGTTTTGGACTGAAAACCCTGAAAGCACAATGAAAATGTGTTGATAGTATGTTGTCAGCTTAAAGTCCAGCTGTGGTGAGACCTTCAGAATCAAACACATGCCATGGGCTGGATGTACTACTTACTAATTAAAATTTGAAAGGCAATTTGCTGAGAATTCAACCACTTTTTTTTTGGACAGTAAAACTACTTTGTGGATTTGAGCTATTACAATGAGAATGTCTCTTACGTCATGTTGCTCCTTCCTCCCAGGGTCTGTGCGCAGGAACTCTACAGCCAACAGCAGAAGCAGTGCCCTTAGCGCCAGCCATCGGATAGCAGACCGCGACTACTTGGGCTGGATGGACTTCGGGCGCCGCAGTGCAGAGGAATATGAATACCCTTCGTAAGAAAAAAGGAGAGAGGAAAATACAAAACAATGTATGATTTCAAGCTGACTCTTCACTGTCTCTCAATAAAAACATTTGTTTATGATGTACTTGTTGAACATTTGTTGGTAAAAGTGCAATGATGCAATCTACGTATGCCAAATTTTGCATAAAACTGGAAATGTCTATGGATTGTCTGTTTGTTTCTAGTTTCTTGTTTCTTTTTGATTTTGGTTGGAGATAATTGTGCTGTTGAGATGGGGGGTGTTGAGTTTCACTGGACACAATAAAAAAGAAAATTGTGTATGTTTCTACAGTGGTCATTATTTATGCACATGTGGTTCAAGATCATTTATCCAGAGGCCAATCAAGGCAAATTATCTTTATTCTTCCTTGATGTTGTTATCATAAAGTTAAAAAAAACCCACACACACACACACTCATATAAACCCACATATACATACGTTTCACAATATTGTTTTTAAAATAATCAGATTAGTATATAGGGTGGGGTTAGTAACAATAGAAGATTACCTAATGTATATATAATTGAAAAAGAAGGCAAAACCATTTACACATAAAAAATACAAACGGCATGATTTTCAACGTTTTTTTTCACTAGTCATGGCCACAGAGGCAGCATTCTGAGAACACAGGCCCAGACTTCCCAGAGGTCTGTCTTATGACTCAGATCCCTTTTCACCACGATGGTCAGATCATCAGCAGCAGGCGTCTGTGCATCTTTCCATCACACTGCCGGAGGTGAGAGACTTAGTCCATGTGCAGGGTGAGAAGGGTCGGCTGTGATGGTCCCATTTAAGGTGTTGGTTGTTGATAGTGGTGCTGAGGGCATGGTAGTGCAACAGCAACTGTGCCAGCTGCCTCAGGAGTCCTATGATCCAACATGCCTGACTGCATCCCTAACTTCAGCAAGAGGAATACTGGCACCAGCAACAGAGGCCCTGCCACCCCAGCTTTGACCCGTCCACATCAGCAAAAGAGGTGAAAAACATGGTCCACTGTAACCCCCCTCCCTTAGGATATGGGGGAAGCTCTCTTGGAGGTGAGAGTAGAAAATATTAGGTTATGTGAGACGTTCCCAGCAGATCCTCACGATACTCTCCCCCTCTACTAGCAGATCCAACTCACAACCAGGAGGTTCATTTGTGGACAGTTGTCCCTCTCTTTCCATGAATGTCTGAAACAACCAACCAGAAGTTCTGAGGAGTGGTCGGTCTTCGACTGGCCTCAGGTGTCCTGGTGATTACGGTCAGGGTACACTTTACTGATCCCGGTAGAGCAATTTGTGTACAGCCGGTAGAGCAATTTGTGTACAGATGGACCCCCTTGTGCACAAACATGCTGTTTTTATGGACAAAGTGTAACTAACGCAGAAGTCCAATAACAGATCACAGTTTGGTTTAAAGGGATCACCCCTCTCAGGTATCACTTGTGTTTGAAGTCCCCCAGGAGAATAATAATTAACAGTTATACGTCCCAGTGCAGAGAACACTCTTAAAAACGTTGGCTAAACTGAAGTCTAATAAAGTCTAATTGGTTGAACTAAAGTGCTGTTGTGTCCTTAGGCAAGACACATCACCCACATTGATAGTCTGAGTCTAGTGTGTAAGTGGGTGGTTGTTGTTTTTCGGCCAACTAGATAGGTACAGTATTTGGCCCCCTTGAACCTTTCAACATTTCGCCACATTTCAGGCTTCAAACATAAAGATATAAAAATTTAATTTTTTGTCATGAATCACCAACAAGTGGGACACAATTGTGAAGTGGAACAGAATGTATTGGCTAATTTAAACTTTTTTTAACAAATAAAAAACTGAAAAGTGGGGCGTGCAATATTATTCGGCCCCTTTACTTTCAGTGCAGCAAACTCAGTCCAGAAGTGAGGATCTTTGAATGATCCAATGTTGTCCTAAATGACTGATGATGATAAATAGAATGCACCTGTGTGTAATCAAGTCTCCGTATAAATGCACCTGCTCTTTGATAGTCTCAGGGTTCTGTTTAAAGCGCAGAGAGAACCATGAAGACAAAGGAACACACCAGGCAGGTCCGAGATACTGTTGTGGAGAAGTTTAAAGCTGGATTTGGATACAAAAAGATTTCCCAAGCTTTAAACATCTCAAGGAGCACTGTGCAAGCAGTTATATTGAAATGGAAGGAGTATCAGACCACTGCAAATCTACCAAGACCCGGCCGTCCCTCCAAACTTTCATCTCAAACAAGGAGAAGACTGATCAGAGATGCAGCCAAGAGGCCCATGATCACTCTGGATGAACTGCAGATAACTACAGCTGAGGTGGGAGAGTCTGTCCATAGGACAACAATCAGTCGTGCACTGCACAAATTTGGCCTTTATTGAAGAGTGGCAAGAAGAAAGCCATTTCTCAAAGATATCCATGAAAAGTCTCGTTTAAAGTTTGCCACAAGCCACCTGGGAGACACACCAAACATGTGGAAGAAGGTGCTCTGGTCAGATGAAACCAAAATCGAACTTTTTGGCCACAATGCAAAACGATATGTTTGGCGTAAAAGCAACACAGCTCATCACCCTGAACACACCATCCCCACTGTCAAACATGGTGGTGGCAGCATCATGCTTTGGGCCTGCTTTTCTTCAGCAGGGACAGGGAAGATGGCTAAAATTGATGGGAAGATGGATGGAGCCAAATACAGGACCATTCTGGAAGAAAACCTGTTGGAGTCTGCAAAAGACCTGAGACTGGGACGAAGATTTATCTTCCAACAGGACAATGATCCAAAACATAAAGCCAAATCTACAATGGAATGGTTCACAAATAGACGTATCCAGGTGTTAGAATGGCCAAGTCAAAGTCCAGACCTGAATCCAATCGAGAATCTGTGGAAAGAGCTGAAGACTGCTGTTCACAAACGCTCTCCATCCAACCTCACTGAGCTCGAGCTGTTTTGCAAGGAAGAATGGGCAAGAATTCCAGTCTCTCGATGTGCAAAACTGACAGAGACATACCCCAAGAGACTTGCAGCTGTAATTGCAGCAAAAGGTGGCGCTACAAAGTAATAACGCAAGGGGGCCGAATAATATTGCACGCCCCACTTTTCAGTTTTTTATTTGTTAAAAAAGTTTAAATTATCCAATACATTTCGTTCCACTTCAAAAAATAATTTTTTTATATCTTTATGTTTGAAGCCTGAAATGTGGCAAAATGTTGAAAGGTTCACGGGGGCCGAATACTTTCGCAAGGCACTGTAATTCTGACCAAAATACTGGTCTGCATTGGTTAGCATCATGGCAACTGTTTATAGCTTTTTAATTTTTTTTACCAAAAGAAAAAACAAAAATTGGTGACATTTTTGACTGTTTTTAAGAGTGCAGTACTCTTCCGAGCTTGTTGCCAGGAATGATAGGGTCCAACCATCCCTGAGGAGGTTCCAGAATATCACCATTCCATCTAATGCTATTTACAATAGACCATGAGTATATGGGAGATTATACTAAACCCAGAACACAACATATACATGACTGCTAAGTGGATATGTTAATATCAATGTCTGAAGCCAGAAGGAAATGTTACTCATCAAGATTTGATTGGTCAAAACTCAATTTACAAACGAACGGCAGCACAGTCATAGAAAGACCTGCACCAGAGAGGATTGTGGGAAGACATGGTGGTTTTAGAATTTGGATAAACAGTGAGAAGAAGTTATGTTGGAATAAGTTGAAGATCAAAGACAGTGAATGCACCATCACGGCGAAGCTGGAGAAAGCCTTCAAACAAGCAGCAAGATCGTTATGAGCAGTAAGTTCGGATAAATGCTGAGAAAGTTTTTGGGGAAAATACGTTGAATAATTCATAAAGTCACAAAATATGTCTAATTGCAGCTGGTTTGACGTCCAAGCACTGCATGCAGTACAATATATAGTGTGCTTTATATATAATGACAACCAAGACAGCTGGTTTTAATATTCTAGTTAAAGACTGGGTATTCTTCCAATTAATAAAACATGTTGTCTGTACCAACAGTAACAAAATCATAAAAGTACAATTTTGTGAACAAATCAGACCACATTGTGATGTCCTCATCTTGTTAAAATCCTTTTTTTCCTCTTTTTGAGTACTTCTAACAAAACCGAGCCCTGTGAGTCACTATTTGGTGTGACACGATGGGCTGAGAGCTGATTGGCTGAATGAGGGTGGTACTCTCTTTATCATTTTCCTGTTCTAAATAAAGATCAGACCCCAAAAAATACAAGCATGTGAAAACTAGTGATAGAACTATCCAGCTCTAAGAAATAACAACTGATTGGTTGAAGATATCTGTAAAAGCACATTCTATTAAGCTGAAGAACGTGCTCACAATCGCACAAATAATGGAAGAACACAGAGTTCTTTTCATTTTTTTTAAACTAGAAAATGTTAAAGATTTTCCATGCATGAAATTCATAAGAGAAGACTAAACGATACAGGGGACACATTGTTCCTTTTTAGTTTTGGTGAATGCTTACACAAGTGCTCTCATCTGTAGTTAAAAAGTAAAAACAACTTTTAAAACCCAAATCCATAAATGTATCATGTTGACCCATAGATAACTTGCCAAAGTTCTGACCACAATAAATAGAAAAGGAGGAACAACAAGCATTTGATATCTGGCCAAAGGTCAGCGGTTTGCAAAGGCTATCACTGCAGCCAAAGACGTGAGCGTCACAGCCATGGACGGAATAGTGATGAAGTGGCCCATTATGCAGCTTCTGGCCACTTGACTTAAGTGAAAGATGTGTCTGCATGTGTGTGCTGTGGAGAGAGGGGGAATCGATGAACAAAGACAGCCGGAGTGAATTATTCAGTCGAGTGGTGTGGATGCCTTAAGGGAGAAGGGTCTGCTGTCTCTTTTATGGAGCTCAATGAATCAGGAATAAACCAAAATCTGCAACTTTCTTGGCAAAGTCACAGTAATATATATAACATATACATATAAACGGTGTGCTCTCAGACTGTGGGGGTGTGTTCAGACTCAGGTGTCTCTGTGGAGGTATATTCTCAGAGATGAAAGAGGTCAGGAGGCCACACTTGTGTTTAGGCTTTGAAGTGGCTGCACATGGCTAAGTGTTGCAGTCCTGTGTGCTAAGATCGACATAACGCACTCTTGAAAGAAACACGAGTGTGACTGAAAAGTGGCCACATTGTAAAGAACAGATGGTGGTATCTACACCCTGGCACCTCTTCGTCTTGCTTGCTCCTTTCTACTGTATAAAACTGAACCACGAGGCGCTTTAGGGGCAAAAGGAGCATGGAGAATAAACTCTGTATCGTTTCCAAATTTTAAATAGTTTTCTCAGGAAAATTTCCATTTGTACAGGAGAATGAGGAACATATTGTATTCTATGGTCTACTGGAGAGGAACTTGTGTTTTGACGTCAACAATATTGTTATTTAACATTTTTTGGCGGAGCCCATAATGATGCAAATAAGTTCTTGTCTTGGTGGGAATGTGAGTCAACAATGTTTAAAAGCGGGCCTTGTCTGTAACATCTACAGAACAGAAGACTTTTTTTTTTACACAAAAATGTGTTTTTTTTTTTAAGCCAAAACTGAGAAACCTCAAGAGAAACCATGCATCTGGATCAGCACATGGACAATCTGCACAGCCCCTGATTCCACTCAGGCCTGCTGTGAGCTGCTGAGACATGGACAACACCATCGTCCTCTTTTGCATGGAAATCATTTGGAACAATTGGATTAAACAATTTGGACATGATTTGGAACAATTGGATATCTGAATTTGGACATAATTTGGACTGAATTGGATTGCTGAATCTGGACACTAAAGCTGAAACGTGTGATTGAAAGACACGTCACAGAAGAATTCATGGCTCGACACAAATGCAGCCTGAAGAAACCAACACGGAGAAGTGGGAGAGACTGTTTTCAAAGCAATATCTGGAACCATCGACTGATGAAGTTTGGTATTTTACTGAAGATTGTTGACACGTTTTATGAAAGATCTGAACAAGTTATATGAGTTTTTTGAGTTTTTGAAGTATTGAGTTATGATGTTATGTTGCTGTTTATCGATCCTGATGGTCACACGTGAACGTGTGACCAGAAGCCAGTACTTTTCCACTTCATGTTTTGTCTATCTGAAGGCCAAGCTACAAGCACACCGTGGAAGCTGCTGATTGGAGGTCTCCATGCCTCCGCTATGTATAATACACTTGCATTCTGTGTTCGTGTTGTTCGTGCTGTCTCTACCATCGACAATAAAACATGTCTTCTGTCTGAATTTAAGACACGATCCCAGACTTTGTCATCTTCTTCACCGGTTTCCCCTACCACTAAAAACTTGCACACTAGGTTAAATCCTCCAGCTACGGTAGTCCTGACCAAGCCGAGCATCAACATCTGGAGATGTCGGCGACCACTGCTCCTGACGTAAGCCTTAGTGGCATCAGGATGGGTCAAATACAGAGGATGAATTGCCCTACAGGGATCAATAAAGTGCACCCTCACCTTTACCTTTACCTCTGAAAGCAATTATCCCTCTCTAAGCTTGGGTCCTCTACCAGAGGCCTGGAAGCTTGAGGATTCTACGCAGTATCTTTGCTGCGCATTTCTGGATTGAGATTTCTGAGGTTGTTCCAGGGATCCGCTGTAACCACTCTTCTAGCTTCGGGGTCACTGCCCCGAGTGCACCGATCACCACGGGCACTACTGTCACCTTTACCCTCCAGGCTCTCTCCAGCTCCTCTCTGAGACCTTGGTATTTCTCAAGCTTTTTGTGTTCTGATGTTACCATTGCATGGAGTTGCCACGTCCACCACCATGGCTGTCCTCTGCCCTTTGTCCACCACCACGATGTCAGGTTGGTTCGCCATTACCATTTGGTCGGTCTGTATCTGGAAGTCCCACAGGATCTTTGCACGCTCAATCTCCACCACCTTTGGAGGAGTTTCCCACTTAGACCTTGGAGTTTCCAGCCCATACTCTGCACAGATGTTTCTGTACACTATGCCAGCCACTTGGTTATGGCGTTCCATGTGTTTCCTTGCCAGCATCTTGCACCCTGCGGATCTGTGCTAGACAGGTATAGTACATGTGCTATAGCACAAAACTGGAGCAGCTTGTGGAAATCATGGAGAGAACATGCAAACTCACTCAGAAAGTTATACCTCCCATTTCTATTCGCTTTCATTTGTGAAAATGTAGTCTCAGCATTGCATTTATCAAACTGAAAAACTGTTGGTTAAAATCTTTTTACTACATTTTCCGTCAGACAGTGAAAAACGGATCAACGACCTGACATACAGGTCTATGATCAATGATACTACTTGCATTGACATAGTATCTTTTTTCCTCTGGAAAAAATAGCCTTGCCCCCTTTTCACTGACCTATTTGATTAAATGTGGAGAACTGTGGCCATTGGGGGCTTTTTATTTATAACACTGGACGGAGGCTGAGGTCCCGGTGATCCGCGTGATATGTCACACTCTTTTCTTCTGGTTTAACAACTCTGTTTTCACACACGTCTCAATGATTACTTACCAGATTCTTTGGGATAATGTATCTTGTATTATATAAGTAATACTTGCTTTTCTTTACTTGTGTTTCTTTACAGCTTTCACCAAACGGAAACAAAGTTTACCCCTCATTAAGGACGTGCACGACATTCTAGCGCCATCTGCTGGCTGGTTTGCAACACACACCGCACGGTGTTGAGAGGAACTGCTCGTTACAAAAGTAAATTGCGCCTGTTGAAGTAATACATGGATGTTTACAAATCAATAAAAACAGAAGAAACTCTTACTTAGTAAGTTATACTTTACATGTGATTATTATTAGATTGTTTAGATTAATAATCACTGCCCAATACTTCCACATGATGAATATATTGATTATAGGCTGATTTAATGTTTTGAGGTTTAGAAGAACATCCAATGCAGCTTTAACTTCACACTGCCCATAAAATTAGTGTTATAATGTTCTTATGAATAAATCACCTTTTCAGCCCGGTAGCTTCACAAATATCTAAGTTCCTCAAATAACATTGTATAACCATAATTCTAAACTACTTAGAAGAGCCATAATTTGACATGGAAAGTCATGGACAGAGAACACAGTGTGTTTATAGACTGGATTTATTTTTGAAAAACCTTGACAAGAGGATCTGCTCTGACATTGGAACACAGTAGTTGAATGTGTCCCTGCCACAATGATAATTGTCAGTATTCAGGTTGGCCTATATACAAATGTACAATGTGTAAAACAAAAGAAAATATCACATACAGGATACACGACAACAAATTAAGAGAAAAGTGCAACATGTGTGCAGTGATTTTGTTTAGCATGACCACAGCCAATATCCTTCAACAGACAGTAGACCCGCTCCTCTGGCCCAGCACTCTGGCCCAGCACTTTAACAGTGGTTCAGGCACTTCATGCAGTATTCTAATTTGACAGCAGCCTTTCCTCTCATCATCTAATTTCTAACCAAAGACATTGTTATTATTCTGATCAGGCAAAGCAATGTCAAAATCACTAATGAGTAAATAAAACAAAGAACAGACAACAGATCCACATTTCTCATCAGGAATCAGTGCTACAGCAGCTCCGTACAGGGGATGGATGTGTCTGTATGAATACATGTTATTGTATTATTAAAATGGGAGTACTACATCTAACCAGCAGAGTTAGACTCCAGAAGACATTACATACAGGGCTTTGCGAAAGTGTCTCTACAGCCGGAACTTCTGCACTCTTCATGTTACGACCACAAACATGAAGATTTTACTTTGGGATTTTTGTGACCAAAGTAACAGAAAACTGTGAAGTGAAAGCAAAATGATACGTGACTTTGCTATGATTCTTTTTAAAACAAAAATTGAAAAGTGAAGCTTGCCTAAGTGACTGGTCATTCAGTAAACAATGTGCAGGAGTTCAAGCTGTTGAGAGGGCACTGCACTTGACTTACAATGATTACTTCTTTATTTGTTCAATAACATAAAAATATATATTAAGAAAATAAATAAACAAAGTATTTAGTGCAATCAGTGCGCTACAATAATAAGTGAGTTAGGGTTAGCTTAACAGGATTCATCTCGCTTTATTTTCCCCCCAAAATTCTGTAATAAAACATTTTAAAGTTTAAATTTAAGTGCAAGGCAAATCTTTATAACTTACATCTTGATGTTAAATTGAGAGCATTAATAATGTTGCTTTATATTCAAATAATATTAGTGCAAAGATGTACAGGGAGTGATCTGCCTATATAAGAGTTGACTCTTCTAGAGTCAACATTAATGAGTAGAAGTTGTTCAATAATGCCTTGATTTTTGCACTAAGGCTTTGTGCCTGGGCTCCAGATGGCTTGCTCAGCCAAAACTCCAGGCTACTCTTTGGGCCCTGGGGCCTTCATGGCCATACTGGCTCCAACCATAGCTGGATAACTCCGGTTCTTCCTCATCCCTTCAGGTCCAAAAGGAGAGCCAGACCTTCGCAGCCCACCCAGCGGTCCCATGATAGGGCCAGGACTGATGGCTCTGCCTCCTGGAGCTCCAGACACACCTAGCCGTTTTACTTTGTCCAAGAGGTTCAGATTGTGAATGCTTACACTGACATCAGTCTGGCTTTCACAGTCCCTGCCTCTCTGCCTCCCTCTGGCCTCTCCAGTCACCTCCTTCAGAATGGAGCGCGCTGGTTTAGATGCCAGGAAGTTGTCATAGGATGGACTCTTAATATCAAATCCTGCTGAGGTGGAGGTGGTTAAAGCTGCCTGTCGTGTTGGGGAGTTAGGAGGAGTGGACGGCCGCAGAGGTGTGACTGTTCTGTTTGGAGTGACAGACGTACTGAATAAGACTCCTCCGCTGCTTTGGCCAAACTCCAGACCCTGGTTTTGATGGTACATGGCTGCTGAGATCCCCCGTTCCTGAAGTAAACGCACTAACCCCAGGGACATGCTGGTGGTGCGAGTTGCATCTCTACAGAAACAATCAAAGAGTTACTACTGATGACTCCAAATTGCTGGATATGTTATTAAACAATGTTGAAGATTCACCTGAGGTTAGTCGAGGATTCAGACGGCCTAAGTCCGAGCCTGCGTGGGGCACAAGTTGTGGCAGCAGGAGTCCCCAACAAAGAGCTAGTCATAACGCATGAAGATGATGATGGGACTGGATTGAGACTAAAAAAACATTAAAACACATCAGCATTAAGTTTTGTTAAAGTGCATGGGGTGCAATGGGTTAGAATCAACGGTAAATATTTCTACAAATGTAGGGTCTTAGGATTAGTGAAAACATAAAATAAAAGATGCAACAAATCTATTATGCAAACTTGCCTCTTCTGTTCAACAAAAATACAATTGCATTTACATAATTCATGATTAGAGAAGCGCTGGCTTTTGTTATATAGCACATGCAACCCTATTGTATACTATTGTATATAGTATTTGAAATAGCTGTTTTGTAAAGACACAGCTGTAAGGTTATAGAAGATTATAGAAGGTTCTAGAAGTTTTGACGTCTTCCCACTCCTAATAGGACATGTACTTATTTATAATGGCATAAAATTTGTACCATGTTTATATGTCAATGTCCGAGTAAATACATTATTATTTCCTTCATAATATGGATCTTTTGAATGCACTGGAAAACTGCTGCAAGTCCTTCGTAGCTCTGAAACAGTTGTTGTTTTGTGCTTTTGAATTTTAAGTTTTATTGCTTTTTTCTACTTGAGATGTTGCTGCAGTACAGTGTTCATGGTTTTGCACAAAGCAGAGAGGATTCATGGTCCGAATCAAGAGGATCAGGGGAAAATCCACTGGAGAAATAATAACTTTTTGAAAAACGCTAATGAAGCATTTAGCATTTTACTTTGGACTACAGCAGAGAAAATGGTCCGAACCAAGCGGCTACTCCACCTTGTGACCTGTCCTTCTCTACGCAGCGGTTACTCCACCTCTGCTGCTGTGACCCGTCCTGCTCCACTCAGAGGCTACACCACCTCTACTACTGTGACCCTTCCTGCTCTACTCAGAGGCTACTTCACCTCTTCTGCTGTGACCTGAATTGCTGTTGCTGATTATTACTATTTTTAATTTTTAGAATGATCAATTTTATTTTTGCTGCTACTGGACACCTGAATTTCTCCAACGGGGATCAATTTAGTATCCATCTATCGATCTATCCTTCATACGATTTGATGTAATGAAAAACTGATTCACTGACTGGTCATGCAACAGATGCAACAGAAGTCAGTACTTTTCCACTTTTAAGATCAAAACAAAGTTTTTTAGTGCAGATGTTGAGGGGAGCTTCTGTATTTTGTCTTGGTATAAAACCATGTGAATACTGTGAAACTCCGGTTGTATCATTTTATCATGTCTTCTGCTATGTCTTCTTTCCTCAATGACTATCACAACTGTGTCACATGTGTAATCAAACCTATGTGCTCTTTCTTTAATTATACAGTAGATGCTAACTGAGCCCACACTGTGACAACCACTAACGATTCCTGAATATTTGAAAGAGCGCTGACGTACCTCGGTGTGACTCTGGTTTGCTCATCCGTTGGGTGAAGGATCCGACAGGTGGTGAATGTGTACGTAGAACTGGTGTGGACCATGCTTTTACCTGGATAGTACACCGCTGGAGATCCAAAGATACAAACACGTGATAATTATGATTAACAAAGCAAGTATAATAGTTCATTATGTCCATTATTATTATGAAACTCTTGCCTAGGCCGTCGGTGTTGCTAAGATGTGGCGATGGTGATGGAGAGGGTAAGGGGGGAGCCAGGCTGGAGGCGGTTTGAGGTTCCTCAACGCTACTGGGGGGGGCCGAGGTAGTGGGCACGGCAGGGGAGGCCGCAGCGGAGGAGGTGGGCAGGTTCTGGAAGTACTGCTCCCCAGGTGACTCCTCTTCAAAGCCGCCCCACGGATACGCCTGCACAGCACAGATACCCAGTGACTACAGCTGTACATGGAACTCTCACAGCGTTCCAATGATTGAGACAAAGACATGTTGTTCTCTGTATGATGTATTTTGCGACTGACTCTATTTCAAAGGAGACAAGCAAGAAGCACCTATGTTTGCACGAAAAGAATGACCATGAAATATTTTTTTTGGTAGACCATCAAATCATTTAGCTGATCACAAGCTAAATTAAAGCTATTCTATTCCCGCCTAGCAAAGTCATAACATCTCAATGAGTCACGTACCAGACCTAAGACATCTGAGCAGAAAAGTTACTGTCCGGTGTCAAAGGTCATGAGCAATTAGTCTTTCTTTCTATAGCACACTTTATGACCAGTTGCACAAAGCTCTTGAGAATCCAAGTGTAATTTTAATTTTCCATTCACTCCCCACAGTGATGAAACATTCATACCATGTGTTTTAGAGGGAGGAAAAACCGGAGCACCTGGAGGATACCTACACGGGGGGAAATCTAACATAGGAATGATGAAACAATTGCTAGCAGGCACAATTACGAGCAGAATTCACAAATTTGATGAAGGAAAACTAAACTAAGCAAACACATTACTATAATGGTGATCCACACCTGTTCAAGTTCCAGTTCCAGCGGCCGGTATCCTTTGGGAACCACTCCAGGCCTGGCGTCGAGTATCACCCCGAGGTGAGGCTGAGCTAGCTGCTGCCAGTGGTGCAGAGTGGCAGAGCCTGTGCGAGACAGCAGTTAATAGCTCACACAAAAAATATAAAATGGTAAATCTGAAAACTGATGTCTCACGTATGTCGTTTCTATGATGAAAATGACAAATGAGAAACACTTATATTGGAATAAATTCTCCAGAAAAGTGTTTAGAGGTGAATGAAAGCACAAACACAAAAACAAACATTGAAATGAAGAATGCAAATGGAAACAGGATGCATAGAATGAAGGTTTTATTGCTAACACAAAATAAAACAAATGAAAATGAACAGTAGAACAAGGGGGAAAAGATAAGTAAACATTACAGTACAAACCAAAAGTAAAAAAAAGATAACACATAATAAAAGTGTATGATGAAAATAAATTCAATACAGTACCTTCAGTACATGATACCACCACAAGGTGTCAGCAAGCAAAACATGCACTGTCCACAAAGACTGAACTCCTCAAATCTCAAACTGAGATCTTTGTTTTAAATGACATTTACATCTTTTTGCAGGATAGAAAGTTCTATCTTAACAAAGCTGTTGTGACGCATATTGTGGAGAACATGTAGGCGACTTTGGAGTTTGATCTTTCACTTTCCACACATAGTTCTTAAACTGATTGAGTTTGAATATTTACAGATTATTTTCAGGCCTTTTAGAAAATTGGTTGGAATCTTAAAATTAAAATAACGTACACTTCCTTTATAATGGTCCGTTAAACTGACATCTACTATAATAGTTTAGAGCAACACAAATCAATAATGACATTGTCAAAATAAGCCAATATACATAAATATATATGTATTTTTAAAACTGGTTTCAAAAGTCAATAAATCCGAGGAAAAATGTAATACTATAACTGGAATTGACAATGTTAAACTGCTTCTCCTACGCGTGGCAAATAACTTTTCAATACAAATCCAAAATCTTTCTAGAATATCTATGAAGACTCAGTAGTGCGCAGTAGTAGTAGCCTAGCCCTATATCCAGGCTCTGGGGCGTGTGTCTTTATAATAAGTGTGAGGGGAGTTGAAGCTGCCCGACTTGTGATGGTGCATCAGAGACCAGAAGGAGTTAAAGAGCATGAGTGACACAGGCCTCTCTTTGCTCTCCTGGGGACATGTCTTCTTCCTGGTCCCTGCTCTGTCCCTGGCCCAGCGCCTGCCTCTCTCCCTCTGTACACCTGCTGCAGTCTTCCTCACCCATCCCCACACTCGAGACCTGTCCCCCTCCATAGTATGTCCGCGTCTATGGGTGACTTTTTTGGTCCCCACAGCTCTGTGTTTGACTTCATCGCATGTCTTGTCTATCCTGAAGCTCCTCTCACTTTCTCTGCTCTCACCTTCAAGTGGTTTCACAATCTGAAGCTTGTCAGGAAGGTAGGGCCCTCTCGAGGTCCAGAGTTGGAGGTTTCCCAGGGACATGATGCTGTCTGAAGGAGTCATTGGGCTATCGTGCCCCAGGCCGATGCCCCCATGCCCCCCTCTGCGGCGCTCTCGCTCGTCATCAAAGTAACGCCTCTCACTCAGATTGTTCTGCCGACGTAGAGACAGTCTTCTAAGAGCCAAGCGTAACTCATCTGCCCCACTGATCTTTGTCCGATCTGCACTGCTGAAAAGTAAATGCATTAATGGTATGATCAATGACCAAGAAATTAATGAATCTTAGTAGAAAAATCTCTTCTTACCTTTCTTGGTTTTCAGCTACCTCCATGAGAATGCTCTGTGTCCGGTTGTCCATGACATTGCTGTCCGTAGTATACATGGTGGAGCGAGGGGTGGTGTCCCCACTGGACAGGGGGGAGGTTCGTGCAGACAGAGACTGGTTGGATCCAGGGATGTTGCTTGTTGGAGTAAGGGACCTCTGACGAACAGTCTGGTTTACAACCTTAACAGTATCAAACACTCGCTTACGGTGACTCCTGTGCACAAGAGAATCATGTCATTCACTGATTTCTTTGACTCAGTATCGTCTTTGGTGGAGGCCTCCTCACTCGCAGGCAGTGGATTATGAAATGTTTTGACTGATTATTTATTTGAAACCGTCTACAGCTGGCATCTGTAGTGGTTGTACCATCAGCATGTGGAGTAGTGCGGTGGACAAACTTAAAATGTTGCTCCATTGAGTTTTGTATGTAGACAGATTATTAATATTTAATTTAACAATGAATGTGTTCTGGACTTGTATGGGTCTTTTTAATATTGTGTTCTATGGATTGAAAAAAAGATAGATGCAAGATACACAAATCTGTGAGAATTTCACAAACTTTACAGGTTAAACCTTACTTCTGTTCCTCACACTCTGGATCATCCAAACTCAGCTCCTTCCTCATTGTTCCTTCGATTTCAGCTGCCAGAGAGTCCTGCATTAAACCATAACAGAAAACGTCACAAACTGTGTTGTAAATACTTTTCCAGAGAGGCTGAGCACTCACCATCGGGTACAGTCCCAGAGGATGATAGCGGCGAGGAGTTCCTGCTGGGTAGTTTCTGTTGCGCAAGTTCTTGAGCTCTTCTTGAGCCTCGTGCAGCATCTCAATGCACTCACAATACTTCAGCTCCAGCTCCTGAAGCTGCAGCCAGCAGAACACACAGTAATACCGTCAGACCTAGTTTAAAGTTCTATGGGTTATAATAACTTTGGAAGATAATAACCTCAGCTGTGAGCTGCCTCTGTGCATCCTTTGCTGCGATCAAATGCTGAGAAAGCTCCTCGTTCTCCACCTCAAACTACACAAAGAAATACTTAGTCACTACAAAGTATTTGGTTCAAAATGCAAATGTTGGTTCAAATGCAAAACACACACAGATTTGGCTTTCTTTTGGAGATCAACAATCTGTGACAGAAGGTGTGTGATTTCCTCTTGCTGGCGAGAGGCATCTTCAGTTTTTCGTGCCAATTCTTCAGCAATTGTAGAGATTTGGAGACTGGACGATCCTAGAAAAATGTCTCAGATGTGAAAAGATTGCACAAATAAAAGGGGATAATTATGTAAAAAAATTACAAAGTATATGTGCTCACTGAGTTCATTGACACAGTCATTAACCAGCTGCTGCTCCTTCTCCTCATATGTTTCAGTCTCTGACTTCAAGTGGCTGGCCTGCATATAATTAACCATCATGAGTTCATCTCCTTCATGTGTTCATAGAGCAGTGCGGTGTCTCACCTCTGAGCGCAGAGACAGGTTCTCATCCTCCAGATCTTTAAGTTTCCGCTGCAGCGTGTCACTCCCAAAAACTCCTGCCGCTCCCTCCAGCTTACTCGCCTTTCCCCTGAGAGTCAAACACCAACACATTTAGTTTGAGCAATTCCAATGTGTTTGTTTTGTTTGTTGGATCTGAAGTTTTATACTAAAGGACACTGACGTTGGAGAGCTGCTTGATTCTTCACTCTCATCTGCAGCATTGGTGTAAAACTGCAGAAGCTCATCTTTCAGATTGAGTTCATGATGCAACTGTGCGACCTGAAAATGTATAAACAGTATTCATGTATCTAAGTTCCACAGTTAGTCATCTAATGTACCAAGCACCTCTTCTGTGATCTGTGCCACTTGTTCCTCCAAATAGTCATTTTGCTCAGTCAGATTTCTATTCTTCTTTAGCAGCGATTGTCCAATCTTAGCTGCCAGTTCCAAATCCCTTTCTTTCTGTGATAACATAAAACATACAAAATGTTTCAGAGACAAAGAAAGAACATACAGTAAGTATAGTGCATAGAGAAGTACAGCTGGACTGGAACTGCAAAGAGGACAAACAAAGGATTGTGGTTGTTTTCATTGCACTGAAAAGAGTACAACGAGTGCCCTTTTTGTATCTCGCTAAAGCTGACTTGCAATGGGTCAAGATTAAAGATAATATATAAGCATTTATTATCTTTAATCTTTAATTTAGAGTCCATATAAACTCCTGATAACACCAGTTTGATTGTCCAATTCACACAAATGTTCTCTTCAAGTCTGATCCAGAGGGGGCTTTAATCTGAGACAGGACACTTGCCTTGGTTTGGTGGGAAGTGACCTTGGAGACACAGACTTTGAACTATCTTAGTGAAACACACTTTTTTGCTAGGTTTCTACATTCAGATTGAGTCGCTTTTTAATATTCTGGTCACATGTCTTTTTGCACAGCTCCTCCACCTGCTACTCATTGTCTGGTGATGTCATTTATAAGCTACACTACTGGGCTGGTCTATTTGTTTCATTTCAACCATATGGCTTAAACCTGATCTTTAGGGAGGCTGTTCCATGTGTGATTTTAACTTTCCATTTCCATGGAATCATGCATTTGAAATGAACGAGGTCACATAATAAACTTGCCTCTTCCAAGAGTCGGGTAACAGCATCGATGTCATTGTAGGTCTTTGTCATCTGTCCCACTCTGTCTGCACAAAGCACTGCAAGGAAAACATACACAAACCAACTTTTACACTTTTTTTTTAAACCACAAATTCCTTCCATTCCTATTCTCTACCATCCACATCACTTCACAATTGGGGATGAAATTAACACACTTTATGCAAACTGTGAATACTATGAAGACTCATTCAAGCTAAAACACCGACAAGAGCTGGAAGCACCGATCACAACCTCACACTGAGCGCCAAAGGGTCAAAGTCAAATGACGAGGGGTTGTTTCCATGTCGCACCGCATTTGGCTTTGGACCCTGAAGTGCTTATTGACATGATGATGGCTCACGTCAATAGCATTCTGTGAAAAGGCCAGTACATTATAATATACATATGTGTAGGCTCATCCTGAGAACAAACAGGCAGGCTCCAATCACACTGAACAAAGCTATTATTACATTGCTTTACATACATAAAGTGATGCCGTGACAACTTCATCACTGCACTTTAAAATAAATACTTAAATGGAAGTCATAGAGCGCAGCACTTCATCTCAACTGTAACCACTTGAACAAACAAGTACACATCTTATTCACAGTTTGATCCAAAAAAAGGCGATTTAAAGTAAAGTTACCTTTTTCTTCAACCCAGTCATGCAGCCGTCTCTCACACTTAGTTAAGTCCAAACCATTGTTCGTCTCTTCCATTTCCTTTCACTCCAATGGACAAAATAACTACAAGGATAACCTCGCATACACACGAGCTCTTGAACTTCTGCATGAAGTCTGTCACGCTGCACTGGGACTGTGGGGAGGTCAGTTTAAAGCGGTCGATGATGTGAAAGCTGGGTCAGCCAATCAAACAGAACCCTAACAGAAATATTGTACAAGATAAAGTAGTATTTTGTTACTAACTAATGATTTGAATTAATATTTGGATGATGAAGTTCTGCAAAGAAATAGTAACCTGAATTATATTCAAATGTCTTCAAAATGACAGCTCTACACCCGTTTAACAGAAATTGGAATTGCCTCTCGTTGCTTTACAGCAAACTCTAATTACATTTATTTCCTTTGTATTTTCTTCTTTCTAGAACAATAGCCAAGGCTGATGTTTTAATTTGTTACATGTAGTTAAAAGTGTCAACTATCTAATCTTATTATGTTTAACCAAACACAACAATAAGTAAAAATAGTCTTTTTTTACTTACAGAAGTATTTGAGTGTTTCTTCTATCTGCTCGGTGGTTAGGTCCAGATCGGCCTCTGGAGCAACGAGGGGAGTGTGAAGCCAGTCATCATGGTCGTAGCCATAAACGGTGTCGGCCCGGAGCCGATAGACTGGGAGCTGCTCCTCCAGAAGACTGATGATCTCAAACTCAGGCAGGTCAGTGCTGTTACACACATCTGTAGAAGAAAGAACTTTATAGTTTTACACTGGTTATTCTGGTTATTGTCCCATTACCTGTAATGGTCTCGGCATCCCTGCAGTCCGGCACTGGTGGTTGGGTGCCCACCTGGCTGGGCTCCCCCTCACTCACATAGTGTTCTTCTTGGGTGAGCCACTGCCCCTCAGAGTCTGGATCTGGGGGCAGCGGGGGAGCGGAGGAGGCCAGCTTTGCTCACCTCTCACTGGCCTAGAATAACATGGGCCATGGGCTTCTGGAGCTGTAGCTCCACCAGACAACACAGCCAGTCTGGAAGTTAAACAGCAGCCTGAGAAAAACACAGCCACAGGGAGAGCAGAATGTATGTCAGCTCAGAAGCTTTCACTCAGGAGTGCAGACAGAGTGCACTCAGGATCAGGTTGTGTTGCAGTAGAGCACTGATAAATATTATGTATTTATGACAGAATATGGTATATTACAAAACAATCAGATACTGTAACAAGCCCTATTCATAACCATAGTTTATTGTGAGAAAAACACATTTTTCGATGTAAAAACAGCACAACATCTTGGGATTAGGTTATAAATAGACAACGTAAAAAGGTCTTTTATGTTCACATCACCATAATTTCACAGTGTTCTCAGAGGTTTGTTGGAACAATATTAGTATTGTTCGACTAGATTTTAGAAGGCTTTATTTGGTGACAGCAAATAGACCTAACCAAATAAAAACTTCAAGTACACCTTATTTTTTGTAAGCAAAAAATACTATTCTACTCTTCCATGCCTGAAGTATAACAAGGACAACCAATGGGAGTGTCGCCACAGTGCGGGTGTGGCTAAGACCTGGAGCCAGGGATGCTCATGAGCAGTGGGTCTGTCGCAGACTCAGATCCCTCTTCATGGAGACTACACATGGACGCGGTCACAGCTCACTCACCCCCGTTGGCTTGTGTCCGGGAGGGCAGAGGACTCTTCGCCAGACGCGTGTCCTCTGAGTCTGTCCCTGTCGGGCTGACTCAGGCCTGAGGATGATGGAGGGTGCAGATGCTACTCGGTTCAAGATCAAATCAGCTCTGACCCTAAAAACGAGGCTGTTGGAATTTGTGAAGACTTAAGTTGTCGTGAGAGTGATGAAGAATACTGCCCTTGTCCCAGCACACAGTCGCTGTCCCACACTGACCACAGACATGTCCAGTGTTTAGTCCAGGGGCTCACAGTCTCCGGCGCACCACAGAGTCAAGTGCGCGTCATGGAGGCTTTACGCACTTCCGGACCAAATCTCAATTCAAAGTAAAACACCTCATATAACTGGTGCATAATGGGTTCTCTTCAAAGACAGATAGACTATTATATTTTGCAGCGCGTCTGAATCTGGGCATTTTATGTGTGGAAACATTCTCGATATAGTAGACACGGAACTCCTTGTTCTTTAGGGAGGGGAAAGTGTGTAACTTCTTACTTATATGGACACCCGGGCTATGTACGCGGATCTATTTGACAACAGCTGTTTTAATCAAGTTTCAGATTTCAATGTGTGAAAAAATTTGGACCCGTTTTCCCCCCTTCAGAGTTTTTACACAATAATTTAATCACGTGTGTATGCTGCATAAGCCTATAGTTAATAATAACCTGGTGATGGTAATACATTTCAAGGCAGGCGCTATATAACAAAATCGTTTTTATAATGGACAGCAGGTGGCAGCAAAGTGTCGCATACCGACAGCATTTACGAAAGGGATCTGAAACAACACCGTAATTGGCTTTTGTGGCAATTTATTGTCCATTGATACAAATCTAATGGATGGAGGCACTCAATCGAGGAAGAAATTGATCGGAAATACATTATTGATTCTCTACGAATACTATCACTGGAGTTTTTTATAGTAACTTTGGAGGCGAGGAGCTGCCTCATATTGTGACATGTGTGTTGGCCTCACTCACAATTCAGTCTTTTTCCTGCTCGCGACGTCAGCGCCCGCAAAAGGTTTGGAACAAGTTTTACGCACCAATTGGACCAATGTTGCAATAGCCCGGAGCGAGTGTGTGACAAAGGTGCATTTTGTAACAAGGACTGTCCCAAGGAACCGAGGCAAGGATCATCACGTGGGATTTGATTTATCTTGTTTACCCTCTTTTTTATAAAGCAGGGGTCCGCGGGCATCTGTGGGAGCGCCATTCTCCCTGCACAGAGCCAGTATGGATTTTGACCAGATCCTTGCAGCTATTGGAGGCTTTGGACAATTCCAGAAGGTTTTATACATATGGATTTGTTTGCCAAATGTGCTGCTTGCTTTCCATATGATGGTGAGCATCTTTACCGGAGCCACACCGCCACATCTATGTCGGGACAGCCTTGACCCCATTGTGCGCAACGAGACATTTGTCTACACTCCGTTTATTCTCAACTCAAGTGGTTCTTGTTCATGGTCAGAGAGTTTCCTGCAGGACAACAGCTCTGCTCCCCCGCGGTGCGTTCATGGATGGGCTTACAGCAATGACACATTCCATAGCACCACAGTCACCGAGGTAAAGAGTTACAGTCACTATTTTCCTAATTTGCATTTAACATGCTTTTCATACGAGATAAGCCCATTTGAACACACGATAAAGCTTATTTTTCGTTCTGTCCGAACAGAGCTCTTATTCATGAGTGGACCCTCACCATATTTACTTTGACTATAAATCTGGTTGGCGTTATAGGCCTAATAACATCTCAACCTAGATTCTTAAACATATTCTTATCATATTATCATGATGATGATGCTTATTATTAATAATATAACTATTATTAATATAAATATAACATACATTAAATATAACATACAATATAAAATACAATTGTTATTTTAAAAACAATGAATGTATCAAATTGATTCTATTTGCTGGTTATGTAGTTGTTGACAACCCAATCCTATCATAGACATGGGGTCAACAGTGGACAGTGGACTATAACTGCAAATTCACGTGTGCAAGTTATGATTACAGCCACTTCAGGACTAATGACACCATTGTATTGTACAGTGGGACCTGGTGTGTGAGAATGCCCGTCTGAACAGCATTGGCTCATCCATCTACATGTTTGGGTTGTTGGTGGGATCCTTGGTATTTGGATATCTTGCAGACAGGTATGTGGTGCTTAAAATAAATCATCAAAGCACAGCTGCAAGGAAGCTCATTTTGGTTCAGTCTTCATGTTTTTACTTCATGGCAAACCATTTATCCTACAGCCCCTAGTCATCTATAATCTATAATCTAATAGTTATTAGATTCCCTTATTTTAACCTACTTTAAATATTTATCCTATTACCTATTATTGATTTGTATATACCTTATGTAGTTAACTGAACCCCATAGATTATGAAGCTGTCATGTTGGAAACCTGTAATACATCTTGTGTGTGGTAGCGTTTAGTAAAGTTCCAAACAAACACAACAAAGCTTCTCAAATCCATCTCACTCAGATTTGTCCAAAGTCCAGTCCATGAGCCTATTGCGGCCCTGAGAGTTGTTTTATGTGGCCCTCTGGTTTTACTAATCCATAACTTTTGAGATCATAAACTTAAGTTCTCAGTGTCATTCAGGCAACTTTAGCTCAGCTCAGAAGCTGACACAAGATGTACTTATGATTGTGGCACAAAATTCCGTGTATATGGTACAAAAGGCACATATATATGTATTAGATCAGTCAAGAGGGGTAGGAATCAATCAATTTTAAACTTTCTCCTACTCCTTTTGAGCATCATGTTCTGAATGTGCTCTTTGTCAATATTTTAATATGTATTTTCATTTATATATAATTTATTTGTATTTTTTGGCAATCGACCAACTCTTTGAGTTGAATGTCTTGAATGTACACTATTTGAACAGCTGCTCAAATAGATAAATAAATACTTATACTAAAGTAGAGCGTGAGAAAGAAACATTTGTCAATCAGTCAACTCCAGTTAAATGTCAATCTATATAAAATGCCACACCTCATTTTAACGCTCAGAACAGCCTGAACCCAAGGAAAAAGTTTGACAATCTTCTAAGTCCAAGCCCCTGAACAAGTCTTACTAAAAGGTTCGGACACCTCTGAATAGTTTCTTGCTGTCAAAACAAACTCTTTCACTACTTTTCACTTTCTTTTTTTACCTAACAAGATGTGAAAGCATGTTGTGGTCAGACTTGGTCCCAAAAAATAGTTTTACAAGACACTTAAAAACTAGACTGCTCTCACTGTTACAGTTTTTGGTGCAGTCAAAAAGACATGAATCTTGAGTTTGTTTTTGTCCCAAAGGTATGGCAGGCGTCTCATCCTGCTGCTGTCCATTGCGCTCCAGACGGTGTTCGGAGTGGCTGTGGCTTTCGCTCCAAACTTCATTGTTTACGTGATGCTTCGTTTTATTGTCGGAGCAACAATATCAGGAGTCATCATTAATGCTTTTGTTCTCGGTACTTGCTCATACTGTATATAACACTCACAATCTTTTTGATTATTGCATGTATCATAGGCATTTACACGTCCACTTCAGCAGGATCAATATTTTTAGAAGCTGTCTGCACTGCCATTATTTACGACCCCAAGTGCAAGAGATATCTACATCTAAAAATATACTGTATCTCACATTAATTTTTTATATCATGAATGTGACATTGTGAATTTATTTTTAACATATTATTTTGCACGTCTCCTGCCACAACCTGTATCCTGTGCACAATTCCCATCACCTCAGTTTAATCCTGTCCATTGCCCTGTCCCCCCCTCATCCCTCTACCCCACAATCTGTTTTATTTTTCTCAAGGTACTGAGTGGACATGCACCAACAGACGCATGCTGGCTGGCATCACCACCGACTATGCCTTTGGCCTGGGCTACATGCTGGTAGCAGGCATAGCTTACCTCATACGAGACTGGAGAAAGTTACAACTGGCAATATCGGCACCTGGCTTCCTGCTTTTTTTCTACATATGGTGTTTAAATATCACACTCACTCTGTAGTATTAATGTTTGGGGGGGCAACTTAAAGGATCTCTTTGTCACGCTCATGCTCCTCTGCTCTCACTCCTGCATCCTTCCTTTCTCCACTGCCCCTCTGTGTCTGATGCTATCCACTCCCAGGGTCCTTCCTAAATCCGCTCGCTGGTTACTGGCCAACAACAGAAAAGATGAGGCCGTCGCACTTCTGCGAAAGGCTGCACAAGTGAATGGCCGAGTGTTATCCCCAACCCTGCAGGTGGGCCTCTGCCAAAAGTCACTACGGCTCTAGAAAAGTGTTCTATATACAACTACAATACGTGTGTGTGTATGTGTGTATGTATGTATATATGTGTGTGTATATATATATATATATATATAAAACATAAGAAAATGAAGTTGAGGAGCGCGATAGCTTCATGATAAAGTACCTCAACTTGTGTCTGTATATCAGGTTTTATTTGATACAAAATAATATTTCTGGAAAAAGTTTAGGCAGAATATGAAATGCTTCAATGGGCCGTGCTTGAACACATCAAATCAGAAACAGACCGTGTGTAAGTGTTGGGAAAACGTGCAGCTGATTTATATACACCCGTCCTTGACTATTGTACATTCTTGAGTGGGAGTCCAGCTTCAACAGATGCAAAAGCACTGGTTAAAATTGGAATCTAGTGGTTTGTGGAAGAACTCCAAGTTCTGGAGAACTTGGCACTAACAGTCAAACAGAACGTTCTTACTTTTCATTGGCGCTGAGGTTGAGGTACTCTCGCACAATATCGTGTATTATGAACTACCCTCACTTTATCAGAAGATATGTAGGGTAGTATGAACAAACCACCCACTGCCATAAAAGGGGTTGCCATTTTTTGAATTTTTTTTACACAGAGTCAGATTCATTTACTTGGCATTTGCAGTAAAACCACATTGGAATACATCCACAAAAGTCCCCAGTGCGCACAAGACAAGTACATAAGTAAACAAGATTAAAAGTACAGAAATAAAACAACCAAACAGCAAACAATTGACACTGAAATTGATCAACTCAAACAGTTTCAATACAAGTGCAAGATCATGCTCTGTTAAAACTGATAACAGGTTGTTGAAAGAAGCTGTTCGCAAGTCGAGATGTCCTGATGAAGCTGGAACATGGCTTTTCCAGGGGCCAGAAGAGTCCGTGATTATTCTAAGAGCCTTGTTTAAAAGTCTGGATTCAAAAAGAACCTCCAGAAAAGGCAGCTCACAGCTCTGGAAAGAGCGGCGCACCTTGTTCAAGGCTCTCCTTTCTTTGGCTGTGATGTCACCAAACCACACAGTCACAGATCCAACAAGTAAACTACTGCTCTTACTGAACTATGCCAGGCCCATAAATGATGACATAACTTCAAACTAAATGAACAAGGACAGCAGTGTTTACTTCCATTTGGGGGAATTTACATCCAAGCCGGGTAAAATTTAGGGCAGAAAATACAAGCCTGAAGGCCAAACCAATCACCTGCACTAAATCTGATTGAGCAGCATTTCACTTGCTAAAGTCAAAGCTGAAGAGAAAAAACCCATGAACAAGCCAGAACTGAACACCATTGCAAAAGAAGGATGAAAGCTGAAGTTCATTTAGATTATTATTTTTTTTTTTTTATTAATATGCTCAATTCAATTTCAAATCACCCCCGACCCAGAAATGGATTAAGGGGAAGAAAATGGATAGATGGATAATTTCAAATCCATTGTTTAAGGAAAGCCCCTTGAGATGAATCACCTCATTTGCGAGAGGGTCCTAAACATAAATACAAACATAGACACATGCATAAGAATTTACAGACCTAATGGCCTAGACTAAATATCAAAATTGTGTCAATGCCCCAATAGAAAGTACTGTATAGCAAGATTGAATATAGCTCTCATGATTTTTGCTGTCGATTCATAGGTGGAAAAGTGTGAAGTCAAAGGTGGAAGTCAGCGTCGTCACACAGTGCTGGATCTCGTGCGCACTCCGAATATGAGAAAACAAGCCCTCATACTGTTCTACATCTGGTACTCCGCTTAAGGCCTCTTGCACGCTTCTGAACCCACAAATCACACGTTTGTTCTCTGCAGGTTCGTAAACGTGCTGGTGTACTACGGCCTCTCGTTAGGAGTCTCCAGGCTGGGCTCGGACCTGTACATGACCCAGTTTGTGTTCGGCCTGGTGGAGATCCCAGCTCGCACCCTGGTTCTGGTTGTACTTCCTTTCAGCCGGCGCTTTTCGCAGAGCGGCTTCCTGGCTCTCGGAGGACTGGCCTGTCTCATCATGCTCGCCGTCCCGCTGGGTAATGCACAGTTCAGTCATTTACACCGGTGGTTCCAAACTGGCGGGTCGGGGATCAGGATCACCGGCCTTTCCTGAGCAACATTAAATATGAATCTACAATATTGCAAAAAAGGTTATCTACAAAAAAGTAAAAATTGTCCTTGATTTTAAAGAAGGTTTTTTTTTAAATAAACTGAAAACGTCTCATCCCTTTGGCATATTTCTTGAAATTAGTCAAATAATGTTTTTATTCATAATCTTGTGCTATTGTTCTATGCTTATAAAAAATATACATTTTTCACAATATAGATTAAAACAGCTATTTTGGCATGAAATCACTGAAATATTTAGGACTTCATACATAAATATATATATAGATGATGTATATTTAAAATGTGAATTGACACTTCCAAAATCTTCTTCTTTTCTTTGCGCCCTTGGAAAGTAGCAGTACCTAAATCTACTGCAAATAATTTCTCTTTTCGGAATAAACAAAACTAAACTTTTTTGCAGTTTTCACAAATACAAGCTGGTAATTAAAATAAAATAGTTGACTAATACAATCGGTCGGCTGAGTGACATTTCACTCACTCTTGACTTCTGACCATTCCAGTTGAGAGCCACTGATTTAGTCTTTCATTTTCTATGTACTATTTGTGGTCTTTTGGCTTCAAAGATCAACCCAATGTATTGACCGGTCTTGCCATGGTGGGGAAATTTGGAATCACTGCTTCTTTCGCTGTGATCTATGTGTACACGGCGGAGATATTCCCAACGGTTATCCGGTAAGTGCCATGTGCCATCTTTAGAGCTTCTTGAGTTAGTGTGAAATGTAACGTACACTTCTTACATCTATGTATTTTAGCCAAACCGGGATTGGCGTGTCCAGCATGTTTGCCAGGATGGGTGGCGTTTTGGCCCCTATGATCAACCTCCTCCAAGACCAAAACCCTACGATGCCTCTCGTTATTTTTGGGATGGCGCCGTTGCTCGGAGCTGCCCTGGCCCTGATGCTGCCTGAAACGGCCGACAAGCCTCTGCCAGATTCTGTGGAGGATGTGGAGAACTGGGACTCAAGGTTAGGCAATTTAAAAGGTCAAGTTTATTTGAACAGCACATTTACAACAAGCAGTTCCGCCCAAAGTGTTTCACTCAGGAGAAAGCACAGTTTAAATAGAAATTGAATGAAATGAACATGACAGTATATCACAAGCGAACAAAGATATTTGCAACGTAAATATACATTTGCGGCAATCTACAATGAATATTTATTATTCCCATCAAACTTGTTTTTATTACTGAACGATAATATTAGTAAGTAATCTTTATTTCACATATCAGAGTCAAAATCAATTCAATTCAATTTTTGCAGGCGTTTTTTCTCACTCCACACATGGGAGCGGGGTCGCTGTACAGGAGGCACATGCCAGATCTATTGTGCCTGTTTTTAGTGGTCGGGGAAACCTAACCCCCCGGAGGAAACCTTTGCAGACAGAGGATAACATGCAAACTCCACACAAAAAGGCCTGGAGGTGGAATCAAACTCAAAACCTTCTTGATGTGAAGCACAAGCGCTAACCACTGTGCCACCCATAATGCTTCCATTGAGGCTAATGCAAAATTGTAACTTCAGGATTGATTTTGAATTCTCAGCCAGAATACGATAATCACCATGTAATTTACTAAGAATCTTATGCCCGCTAAGTGCCCGCTGACACTTTTGTGTGCAACTTTACGCTTTCAATTAACGTTTAATGCAACCATGCAATAATGTAATCACAAGCGTACAAAAGCAGAACACGTTGCTTCAAATGAGTCCTTGGAAATTCAATATTTTTCCTTCACTCTCAGCAGTGTTCTTATTTTGAGCTTGTTTGTGATTGCTCTTTTCTGCAGGTCATCAGCTGCTGACCTCGGTTCTCCCAAAGTTCCAGCTGATGTGTGTGAACTGGCAAACAACTCCGGGGAACATAAAAGATCTTAGAACGTCCTTTACATGTGATCACGGATCATTCAAAAAGGCAGCAAACTAATTTTTTCTACTGAAGGAACACGCACAAGGTCCAACAAGTGTAGAGATAAAGTAGTTTACATCTTGTTATTCTAACTTTTCAGTCCATACACAGTATTTTACATCTTTTATCCTAATGATTTTAAACGGACCAGTGGGGGGTATTTTATATAAATAGTAGCATGAACCTTGACTTTATATTGCATGCAGTATTTTGACTTGAGTGTTTGAGGGAGGTTTCTACATAGTTTGTGGTTAGTATGTTTCACAGACCAATGTTTGTTCTCCTAAAAGGGCTATAGTGTATGTTTACAGTGATTACAGTGGCATATTATACACCTATACCTCAGGAATAAACGACTGATATTGTATGTCAAGATGCTTTACCATGTTTTTTTTATTTGTCAATCACACTTGACTGTTACTGGTGCTACAGCCTGAGTCCTGGATTTACAGCTCGAGTTCCGGATATACAGGGGGGGGGGGGGGCCTCACAGAGGCCCCCTCAAAATGGGCCTCTGTGCTTTAAAAAAAAGAAATCCCTTGCCCGTGCCTGGATGAAGACATGGAGTGTGATCTGGGACATTAACATTTATGGACAAGAGGATTCCATGTTGCATACTGTGTTAATGTAGTTGGCAAATCAACAACTTTGTAAAGTCCATTTGAGATGTCTGCAGCTTTGATATAGCGCATGCAAAAATACTTTGAAATTGTACAAATCAAGCATGAGTCAAAGTTTATGTAATCAAATACACCTTGAGGAAAAACCCTTTATTCTTGAATTGAGTGTATTGCTTTTGAACCCACTCCTGTGCTTTTCACAATACAGTGATGAGTCATACAAACATGTTAAAATCCTATTTCGCTGAGTGCAAACTTTTTATAAGAAAGTAAAAATACAAGTAAAAATACAAATAAAAACAATCATTGCTTTTAGTGCATCAAGGCAGCTGAAAACATGTCCCACCACTGGACAAAACCCAGACACCACCACAGTCTAGGACAGAGTCACATACGTGGCATCGGTGGTAACGCCACAGTTGTTGTCCTTCATTGACATAAGGATGTACCCATCGTTGCCCCAGTAAGTGGACCAGGAGTTTTTAATCAACCAGTACGGCTCCCCACCCAGACTGCCATATCCAACGGCCAGCACTGCATGGTCCAGAGTATCTGTAGTGTTCCCTGAAAATTGAAAATAAAACTGGTCAAGATCTGCAAAAATACCTCCATTTTACTTGCTAATAACTGCAGGTTACCACAGGCAGGCTCATAGTAGACTCCATGGCTATAAAACACAAACGATCGGTGGCCTGCATCAATGCTGACAGCTACAGGTCCATGTTTGAAGAGAGCCACTTTCAGAGCTTCTGCATCGCCGGACGTGACATTAGTGTAGCTCTGAATACGAGCCGTGAGCTGGGAATCGTTCAGGTGGCAAAACCCATTCTGTTTCAAATACATAGTTTTTAGCATTACTTAAACACTGAAAGGATCATATTTTTAAACAATGACACATGCCCAATAAAATGTTAAACCTGCAATAATTTCCACAGAATTGCTGAAATAAGTAACATCTCACCATTCCCATGTAAGCACCGTAAGTCTCAGTTGTGGAAATGCCTCCATGTTTCATAATCCACTCGTATGCTCTCCATTCCTCACCTCCATCACAACCATTATTGCCAAAACCCCAAGAGCAGTCCACCAGAACCTGCTGGGACAGAACCTGCAGGGAGCCAGTCTGGAAGAGGGGGAAATACATAAATCACACACAGAACTTTTTCCAGAGTTAAGGGGCCAGTTTGTGACAAAGCTTTGTTATGAACTGGCCCCTTATGGTAATCTAAACAACTAGACTGTTTCTTGATCAGTCTTGTTTTTTGAGCAACCTCAAACTACACTGTCAAAAGAAAAGTTGGCTTTGCTTTATTTAAAACTAATTTTCCAGACGATAACAAAACAAAAAGAAGACTCTTGTAGAGTTCAAGCAATTTTATCATGAGATTTGGTCACACCTAACTCAAGTGAATATGTTGCCCAGCAACGCATGAAAGGCATTTCTTTGCTTTGGACGTCCGTAGAGTTTCTATCTCAGCATGAGGCCGACCAACAGTTTGTTATGGTAATATGAAAGTGCTAAACCTGTGCGCTCCGGAGTATTCAAAATCCCCTCTTATTTAAAAAAAAAAAAGACAAAAAATCTGGAATAAAGGTCATATATAAGCTTCTCCTTCACCTTTAGAAAAAGTGCGCCCTCTATCGTTCCAGTAGTGGCAAAGCTCCAACAAGAGCCACAGATGGCTTGGTCCTTCACTGGAGTCACAGCACCTGAACACAAATGCAATGATGCGATGCAAATAGTTTGTAAATTGTTTTGAATATCAGGTCATGATTGATACATACCATAAAGTCTCCAGTCGAGAGACTCTGGCACCTTCACGTTCTGATAAAATGTAGGGAAAGGACGCCCCAGATTAGGAGTTTTGCCCTTTTGTCTTCCTCTCATCACAGCCATTTCCGACATGGTGCGATCAGACAGGGAGTTCAGAGCCAGAGAATAGGACAGCCCTGCTCTGTTCTTTGAATGGACGTACCTACAATTCAAATACTTTAATACGAGTAATGAAACCGCTGGCTAACCCATGCCTGTCCCAATTACCGTAGATTATTGACAAAAGCCTGCTCCCTCTCCTCATGCTCCCGCTCACTGCCATACTGTCGCTGAAACTTCTCTTTGAAATGGTTAAAGATGTGCCCTGCATGACCAGCGGCAGACGTGTGAATGAGTTCCTTCATTGGATTGGCAAGTATGTGGTGTTCCACTCCGGGGCCAGGGAATCCTCCACAAGTCATTCCTGTAAAGTTAAAGTGAATAATAATAGTAAAGCTAACAATGCAGAGTATTATTAACCTACCTTCAGGAAGTGAAAAGGCTTTGGGGTCCACATGAGAACTATATTCTTTGTAGTCCACCAGATATTTGTCATAGTGGGACCCCAGCAGGGTGTTGTAGCCCATCATCTCATAATGTAAAGGTGTAGCATCTGGACCACTCTCGGTGCGGGTCACCCACAGAGTGTAAGAGTTTTTCTTATTCCCCACAGTTGTGACATTCTGCCAGACCTCACATAGGGAGCCGCCATAGTACTCCATCCTCAAAAACTGAGTAAAAAAGTAAAAAAAAACAAAAAAACATCTATTTTTAGTCCTCTGGTCAACCACGTGTGTAATATTTCAGGCAGTCCAATAAAATTGCTAGGTGAGTCACAATTTTGTAATAACTTTATCCACCTCTAATCAGACAGTCAGTGAGACCAGCAAACTAGCTCTGGGCATATAAAACATCCACCCAGAGAATAAAACTAAGATTTCTGAGCAACATAGTTATGTTGATGATGGGTAAACCATACTTCAAGCAGACAAGGCAAAACTATCTTCATACAGACAAACAGAAAATGAACCATCACCAGAGTTAAATTCAACACAATAATAAAATCATGATGGCTCCTCTACTCACCTGGAAGCCCTGTACATCCGGTAGAGAGGTTTGTGGTTTGACGAGATCATCTTTGGTTCCATTAACTTGAAAACACTTCATGACATTGAGCTCAGACTCAGTGGTCTCTGGACTTATCTTGTAGGAAGTCCCATATTGCTGATCTCCTCCCAGCTGGTAGGTTGAAACTTGCCCTGTTTGGAAAAAAATATGAATGCATTATACTTGTAGGTCATTTCGGCCATATAGTCAGCCTTTATACTTTCATAAAAAAGAAGACTGGGGAAGTTACTACACACTCAGCATTTTCATTTCTGTTTTTTCATGGCTTTATGGTCTAGTCACACAAGTCTGACACAAGGGTTTTTTGGTTTCACATTAGTAGTTATGCAAGTACCCCTGAGTCAGTCTGTTGCTAGTAGTAATAGTAATAATAATAATAATAATATAGTGGATCCATGGTCTGCTGCCGTTGCCTACCATGATAGTAGTCAATTCGACTGGACTTGGCACCGAGGTCCAACCAGGCCTCAAATGGCTCCAGGATTTCAGCATAAGGCAGTGAGATTACACCTGAGGGAAAAAAAACAAAAACAAAACCATTTTAATAAGCAAAGCACACACCAACATAAAAACACACTTATCCAAAATGAACAATCCACACCTTTAACATGATATGTTTTTCCAAAATCTGGAAGGGGAGGGACAGCCTTCCCCTTGACACCTGAGCAGAGAGCACACATGTAATCAAAATCATATCGGTCAATGATATAAGAAAGACAATAATGCAATGATTAAACATGGACATACAATGCAGACTTCGGTTAGTTAATAAGCACAAGTGTAAGTTACCCGTCTTACCTATGACGGTGCACAACAGTACGACCACAGCATGTTTCCAAGACATGGTTTATTTTGACTAAAAATGGCGCACGCGCAGAACACTATAACATCAAAAGTACACCATGGACTATATCTACCATTCAGCAACTCCCACGATGACAACACAAACGTGGAAATTTATAAAATACAGCCTCTCTACAGCTGTAAACAGATATATGTGGGGGAAATGCTGAACATGCTATTGACACAATATTTAACCAATCAGAGCGAGTGCTCAAAAAGTGGCAGCCAATCACACACAAGAGGGCGGTTCCTTGGCATTGGAGTCATGTGATGAATGTCATATGATAAGATTGATTTTAAAGAAGTATTACTGTACTTTGTTACTGTTGTTTAAAAAAAAACAAAAACAAAAAAAACAGGATGAGATTATTCAGCACATCGTCTGTAAAGGTCTGTTATTATTGATTCAGGTGTGTATCTCAGACTCATCACCATGGGACACAGAGCCTTCAGCCACTTTCCCCCCCAGCTCTGAAACTCTCTCCCCACTGACCTCCGTACCATTGACTCTCTTCCACTCTTCAAATCCATACTCAAACCCCATCTGTTCAGACTGTCCTACCCCACCTAACACACACACACACACCCACCAGCCCATATTGCACTACTGTTTTATTCTGTTGCTCCTGTTTTTAATGTTTTATTATGCCTGTGGGTGTTTTGAAAGGCACTTTTGAATAAAATGTATTATTTTTATTATCATCTATTTATCGATGTAACTATATATTTTTTCACCTTATTATTAATCCAAGAAACACTGAGACCTAATATAAAGCAGTCTATAATTAAAGCAACGTAAATAAGTACTGTATATTGATTACCACATTTCCTCATTTAAAATGTAAGGTTATCTTTTTAAAGTGTTGTAATGCAAATAGATGGTCACTAGATGTCTCTGTGGGGCAACAGTGAATCGTGTAGCCTATTCCGATCATGGATCTATTATAATGATTCCAATCATGGATTCATTATATTATCCTACCTGTCCAGAGAACCAAATGGAAATTGTAATTAGTGAGTCATCATAACGTTACTCATGAGAGCTTTTGTAATTTACTAGACTTCCCCTTTTCATTAGTTTTACTCGAAATGTTTAGGTGAATGAATGTGATCCGTGGCCTTTTAGGTGACGATCAGATGAAAGCAATAGGGGTAAATACAGTTGTATGAAGCATTTGCACTGAGATAAGGTTTAGCGCAGGAAGCCTCTTATGACTAACTCAAGTCTGATGTTGTCAGTCCCATAACTTGAGTCATGAGGATAAGCGCACAGCAGGCAATAATGTGCATTACTATTCAAGGGGTGGATGCAGGAGCAGGACCACAGGCAGACAGGGCAATACTGTGATCAAGAAGGGGAATTATGGCCCCATTACGACACAATAATTGATGTACGATAAACTGTTGTGTTTGTAGAATAATAGTAAAAGGCCAAACGTTTTATAAAAGACATTTACCAAAATCTACATTAATTTCACAACTATGACATATACAAAACCATGCATGTATAAATATAGATCATTTTGAAATACATTATGAAAGAATAATCAGATACTGATCTCTTTAACACTTCTTTCGCCTAAAGGAAGTTACTATCAAATGAGTTATGTTTATAGACTGAATAGAATGCTGAATGTTAATCTTCAGATCTGAACATGCCTGATAACGAACAGAATTGTACAATATTCATACAATAACACAAGTGTGTTGCATCAATAAACCATTGGCACAGTTTGCTGCCTTAAGCAGAAACATATGTTACTTCTAACAAGGGCCTCAGTGTTGTCCTGTCGTTTGGAAGGTTTTAGATGAGATTTAAGGTTTGTGTATATATATATATTCATATAATATATATTCTATCATAATTGCATATATGATTACATAGGTTTAATACTTTCGGATGTATTTACCCTAATAAAAAATAAAACAAATTGAGAATAGGATTCAGGATTGGAATAATGATAAGAGCTCAGCCTGCACAAAAAAACAATACCTTGGTTTATGACCACATCTCCCGTCCTGGAGCTGAGACACTGTGGAGTGTAGAAGTTGTAGGAGAAATGGATTAGACTGGAAACATTTGGTGCATAAAAGAGCTGGTAGCTGAAATGTTAAACTGCAATCAGTGCAACAGGAAGAACTCTTAAAAACATACTGTACATATTCATGAATGAATTGCTAGTACTATTACTACTGTTATTGTTATTACAGCTGGCTGTACACACACAATTAAAACAGTACAATTTTTGAACTGAACAGGACTATTACTGCTCTTTCATGATGAATTGACTTAAATAAATTCATACATTGGCACGCACACACTCTTAATGCCCAAGTCACAGTTTCAAAGCTTCGGTTCTCTCAAAGTCTCGAGTGTAGAGAAGAATGAGGAGGATCATGGCAGTGTTATTAGCTGAGCTTCAGATGGTGTTGGGCAGCAGGGTGGGGGGTCCGGGCTCACATATCCAGGGTCTTCACTTTCTCCATCAGAGTCTCTCAAGTCTTTCTCTGCTACAGTCAGTGTGAGTTTGTTCAGGCCTGCTTCTAGTGCCTCCTCTGCCTCTTCTGCTCTGTCGTCTGGAAGACAAAACAATGTTCAAATACTGACTTTCCTGCAGTCAATACTTATTCTAACACTTCATAAAACCAAAAGCCTGGTATATATGTAGATTAGGTTTGGTATTATTTATTGCCAAATTTGGAATAAGTGATAAATTATGAGGATTAAAGTAATATTTTGTGATACGATTATTACCCAATTACACATTTCAAAATCATGAAAATCTATTTAACGCCACAAGTCTTACTGTTTGGGACTGCACATTTGAGGACGTGTAAGAAAGAGAGTTTAGTAAACGTTTGAGTGACGTTTATCAAACTACACAGTGGAAGCTAATGGGGATCCAAATAAATAGATAAATAAACACAATGGAGGTGAAATGAGGCCACACACCTCTCTCCTGGTCACACTCTGGAGACGAGGCCCCGCTGCACTGGCTGCGAGGGCCCAGGACAGGGGAGTCTGGACTAAGGGAGCTGCACAGGCCCGCAGCCTCCACTGAGCTGGGACTGGGGGCCAATGGGTGCTTGAGAGGGTGCTCTAGAGGGGGCTCTAAAGGGGACACCAGGGGAGAGGGCAGGTCCAAGGGAGTGGAGGATGATGAGGACAGAGGGGTGGAGGTGTCAGACTCTTCCCCAGAGGAGCTACTGCTGCTCTCTCCATCCATGCACACGGACACCACTAAAACACAAACAAACACACAGGGTAAACGTGGGAGTCACATCGGACAAATATGTAAGGGATAATGTATATTACGCAGGTCATTATCAGAAAATAAGTACCGATAAGACGAAGCGAATGCTGACGCGCAGCAGAGGGGTCTGCTTCCGCCCTGAAGGTACTTATTTGTATTCTCCAATTAACATTTAAATGTGTTGATTTATTGATATTTGTGTTATTGAGCATGGCTAGCTTTGTTAGCTTTTCTTACACAGACAGAAGTAAACGCAATCGCTTTTTGATGCAGTAAAACAGTATAATTTGTCATGAAAACATGACCGGAAAATTCTGAAAATCTCTGTGCACGTGTGTGAAGAATGTATATGTATAATGTATTCTCCGATTAACATTTAAATGCGTTGATTGATTGGTATTTGCGTTTATTGAGCGGAGTGGCGAGAACTACTTGCGGCGTAATCTACAAATCAGAATTACAAGCAGAGAGTGCGTTGCCATGGGCAGCGGCCATTATTGTTTTGAGAGGTCCGTTATCAAGAAATAATGACCGGTAGAATGTTTTGAAATTACATTCAAATCAATGGAGCGTTCTACTGCTGCTGTGAGGAGCCATGTAATAAATGGGGAAAATGTATAACTTATGAACTTAACAACTTAAACTAATAGCAGTTTTTAATATTTTATCAAATATCAAAAGTGCTGTATCATTTCAAGCAACATTTTATGGAAGTGCAGTGGAAGTTTGCATAATGTAAAAAGATGTAATTTGTCTTTTTACACAGTATATGTAAACTTCCGGTTTCCACTGTACAGTAAATGTACAATGCACGTTACTCCAAACCATACAGTGAACATTCATGATAGAGATTGATACTTTCCCCCCAAAAGAGCATCATGGAATGGCAACAAAAGGCAATCCCTCCTGAATACGCAAACACTTCCCATTCGAGAAAGATTGAGTTGAGGGTAAATGGTTTAACCCATGGAGGAGGTCCATCTACACTTACTGGACAACCCGTCTGACTCCATGTTGAAGTCGTCGATGTCCTCATGGGTGGTGTCCTTCTCTGCACCCACGCCCTGCTCACGGAGGCCCAGAGCGAGCGAGCGTCTCTGAGCGTGGATCTCCTCTGAGATACTCTCCAGATTCCGCAGAGCTGTGCGGTACTCTGCCTTCGCCACCACCAGTTTCGCCTGCCGCTCGTCCACGTGCCGCTTCAGTTGCTGCAAGAGGAACCAAGACACAGTTTTCATAAATGTAGTTGTTATAAAGTATGTTTCTTATTATCTTAAATGTTTGTGGTAGATGTGGGACTGTGTATAATGTTCACAAACACACTGTGCATGCTGGCTGTTGGACACGTTTGTTGGTGTAAAGGTCATTGCAAATACTCTTTTACTTTATACTACCATTCACAATTACTTTTTATAGTTTATTTCTTTGGGACAGTGCATGCGTTAATGAACACACCTCTCTGGATTGTTGCCCTAATTTCCATCACAAACACATATTCATTCAACAGGAACTATCCATATTTCTATCTAACAGGAAACCGGAGCACCTGGAGGAAACCTATGCAAACCCTGTCTATGCTAATATTATACTATTCAATTACTATGGAAGACTCAATTAAAACAAACAGATTAGTGTCATATTAGACAAACAAGAAAGGCTTACAATTTTCTCCTTACATATTTTAGTATATTTGGTATATTTTAGTGCAATCAACATAAAGTGTCATCCTTTTTGAGAAAATCTTTTCAAATGTACTGCCAATCTCGAAACATGTTTTTTTTATGTAAGTAAGTCATCTTGAATTATATAGCACTTCTCACAGACCAGAGTCACAAAGCACTTTACAATTGAGGCCGTTGTCTCTCACTCCACACAGAGATGGGAGCAAGGTCAAACAAGAGGCGCATGCCAGACCTATTATAAATGTTTTTAGTGGTAGAGGAAACTGGAGCACCAGGAGGAAACCTATGCAGACATGGGGAGAACATGCAAACCCCACTCAGATAGGCCCTGTTCCGACTGGGATTCAAACCCAGGACCTTGGGTTTTAAGCATGGATTCTTCTTTTCATCCGCAAAAAAAGTACAATGTCAATGTATATTTAACGATAAGTATACATTTATTTTGAACCCTACACACACATTATTTTCACACAGTATTAGCAGATAATGAATAGCAATTGCATACCTCAAGATGGATATAATACTTGGACTTCAGTTCAAAGTAAGGCCTGCAGAGGGAGAAAGAGAGCATGTGAATGGGAGGACTCATGTCACTGGAGAAGCACTGAGGGAGTTGCTTAATCCTGCCCAGTAAGATGCAGCATTCCTGGGCTTCTACAATCAGGGGACACACCCCAGCACTGGCCAGGCTCAAACATCTGGACCTAATCACAGCCTCCCTATATTTCTCCCACTTCCCTCCATAGAGGCCAGCGCAGGGTTAGGCACAGAAAGAACAATTACAAACCTGGATTTGTTGATGGAGCGTTTGAGTTTCTTCTCGAGCTGCTTCATGTGACTGATGCAGGAGTTGTAGTTGGCTGCAGTTTTTCGGTGTTCGGCTTCACTGCGTGTCCTTGCCTGCTCTGCCTCCATTACCTGTGCAATGGGAGAGATTAGAATGATAATCCAAGAGGCTTGAAATAACATCTGAGGTAATCGAGAATCCGTCTGAATGTGGCATAGAAAGGTGGAGTTTGTCTCTTTTGAAATAGATGAGTTTGTAAAGTAGGCTGTTCTACCATAACCACTTGAAAGTTTATACACCCAGGCAGACATTTAAATTTTAGTTGTAGTGGTAGTGGTGGTGGTGGTGGTGGTGGTGGTGGTGGTGGTTGTAGCTGCACATTGATCAACATAACATACAGATGTACACGGTTCGAAAACTGTTTTGGACAAAGCAGACGATTATATGATCTCAATCTCCTTGGCTCTCACTCATTTGACAGTAGAATTCAGCAAAAGTACATACAGGAATGCAGTATAATAGAGTATAGCACATAAAGTAATTCAATACACTACCACCGATGTATGAGACAAAACAAGACAATGAACGATAACACAATTGTAACATAAACTTTTTCTGTTCTCAAATTTGAAAGACAACAGAAACTACTCTTCTGACCCTGATTAGAAGCATGGTAAAGCTGAACTGGAAAAATCCTCAAGTTCCTGTACATTTCTGGGCTGCCTTATGAACTGCATGTCTGAGATCCCCCGCAGTGCAGCTTGTTATAATAAATGGCTTCACACAACAATAAGTGAAAAAAGTGATAGTGTTATTCATAATGTGCAAAATATGGATAGCCAAAACAATGACATTACAGCCTGTGTGTGTAAACTTTCAAGCACAAGTATAAGTGACAAATGAAAGTCATACTCCGCTCCCATCTCTGTGTGGAGAGAGAGGACAAATGCCCACAATTGTAAACCACTTTCTTACTTACTTATAAAAGCATAATAATGGATTGGTGCTTTTTAAGACGTTCATGAAATGTGCTATATACGTAAGTACAGATTACTCACTTACTTCATTGCATTGCTGACATCAAAATACATCTGTTCTATTGACTCCTCCTTGCTGTGGTATACGTGTCCCATCTATACACTGGTTACATTCATTCAAACCGATGACCCCTTACCCTTTGCGTAGCATGGTTCAGCATCTCCTGCCAAGCGGAGTCGAACTGACGGCTGTCCTCCTCCAGCAGCCTCTCTTCAGCCAGAGAGATGGTTTCTTTGGCGGCTCTCAGGATCTCAACGGCCCGCTGGAATTCCTGAGCGGCCTTCTGAGCTTCAATCTGGGCCTGTGCGTTGGACAACAGATGCATATTACGTCAAAACACATGGGGAAGACAACAAAAAAGAAACATGTAGGATTGCACCATAACCCAGCTCTTTAAAGTGAGTAATACTGTATATGGTTGAAAGGGGAAAGTAAAAGAATTGTCTGTATTGAGTCAAAACTAACTGAAAATCTGGTTGAGAAGCCGACTAACTTGAACATATGATGTCTGTAGGCAATTCCATAGCCTTACAGAAAACTATAGAGTGGAACATTGTTTTTATATTGAAAATTATTGTTCTGTAAATTGTAATTTTTGGAAACATCATGAATGATCTGAATATACCTCAGATCATCCACGAGATACAATAGGTTTAAACTTATTTCTACTCCTTTTGAGCATCATATAGTATTTGTAAAGGTAGTGGTCGTTCTAGCTCTTGCATTTGACCAGCATTGTGAATGGAATGGTTTGCACGTCTTTTAACAGATATATCAATCAATACAGTTACAGTTAACATGTGTGGGTGCACTTTAAATAAATATTATGCATTATTTTTGGCAATCAAACTGTGTCATTTTTTGTAGTAAACATTATATCATAATTATGTTAATAACCTTATATTATTATATATTATATTATATCTATTATTATCAAGCCATTTCAATATTCAAAAATACCGAAGACGCAGCTCTTGTGGTCCTATATTGGGAAAATGTATGAAGTTGCAATAATGACTTCCGAAGCCCAGTCTCTCCCGGCGTGACTACTTTATGACCTACATTACAGTGAAGAAAGCGTGTCTGATATTTATGACAGCCATAGAAGAGAGGAGTGGCTCTGATTCTTCAGAGAATCATCAGGTCAATCAGACTCAGTGTCAGTGGGTGCTTCCTGGCACTGGTCAAATCAATGGGGCACTTATTCTCCTCATTCTCAGAATATTTGAACCCACTCACTTCAATAGACAATTGTTACAAGGGCGACGAATGATGCAGTTTGGAAAGAATGATTTATTCAACTTTTCAATGACGTATGCCGTTGCAAGTGGTCACGCTAAATAATAAAAAAAGGACCTTCTCTTACAAATAAACGTGCCTTGCCATCTCTTGATCCTATGCCCCAAGTCTTCTAGATTGATATGCTTTATAACTTTATAACACAAAAATCTAAAAGAAAAAACAGAATACAATCTGCTACTAAATAGCATTAATGGCAGATGTCTATAAAATGCATCTATGGCATTGAACATAGTGTTGACACAATATTAGATTTCAAACTTGATTTAAATACTCGATACCAATTTTGAAAACCACAAAAATGACTTTGCTCGTTTTATGTTTTATGGTATTGTTTAAAATGTATTCAAGTTAAAATGCTCAAGAATGTAAAGTATTGTCCTGTTTATGTTTGTTTATATCAATATTTGCAAAAGTTTAAGTACTAGACCCTCCCTAATTGAAATATTAGGGAGAATCTTGTTTTGCGTTGCCTTGTGTGTATCTTATAGTATATCATGTTTTCCCATGGCCTTTGAGGGCAGTCTATTCATCAGTCCCTTTAGCAAGACCCTCCTTAAAAAACAGTCAAGATAAGGTTAGCGCAGTGACGCAAGCAAGCTCCCGTCTGCATCTTCTCACAGGACTCGAGTCCAGCCCAAAGATCTCACTGGTGGTGGACTATCTGCAGTTGTAAAGATACCAAGAGCTTTGAAATGATAGTGTCCAGATACAATGTGAAGGCCTGGACAATCTACAGCGTAATCAGTAATTTTGCCCCAGTGTGACCCACTTCCCAAGCACCAGAGGGGGCGGCTAAAAGGCAGAAGGATGATGGATATTTGATGAGCTCCACAAGAAACTAAAAATTGTCCAGCGCATCCTCAAGCTAAAATAAACCATCATCTGCTTCCTCTTCCTCTTCTCACAAATTGTAGCAGTTGCCAGGCAGTCAGGCAAGTTTAAATGTGCCAATGGTGACGCTGACATCACCAAACAGGAGTAATGTGCGTGTACAGACAAGAAGACACATGTTCTATTGTTGTTGTCTGTCTGTACATACAGTAGGAGGCTTTTGAAAATGAGGGAATATGTAAATAGGAGCTCTGTCACACTATGTAAATACTGCAGTAAGTTCATAAGGGCTGAAATTAACACGCATTAGACAATCTATGAATCTAGTGATCATTATTGTGATTGATAAAAGTTGCTTTTTATTGCAATTTTATTCTAATACAGCAAAAATGAAGACGCCAGGGGACATTCTGACAGATTTCCCCCCCCCCATTTTATCATTGACGACATTAGTTAAAACATTTCCTTGTGTATATACTGCAGTTACTCCTCTGCTTGACCTGTAAAACCACATTTGACAGCACATACTGTATATGTTGAAGTTTGAATACTATTGCTGACTATTCCTGGAGAAAGTTGATTAATAAATTAATTGTTAAAGCCCTAGTGGTATTAAAAAATAGCATGCATATATAATTTCAATATTTTTCAATCTATTGTAAAAAAAAAAAAAAAACTAAACAAAAACAATTGTCTAGCAACCAAACAGGGGGTATGTTTGTGCAGGATATATTATAATATTGTTAGTATTAGATAGCAATATGGCCTACGTGCAGGACTGTACAAGGACTCTTCTGATGATGACTCCATGTTTTGACTATGATGTGCTCTGTCTCTGTGTGACACGTATGTCTTTCGATGTGTGACGTGACAATGACTATATAAACTGTGTACTGACTCCATTCTGTCTGAGAGAAAGAAACAATTGAAACCACTGGAACTTGAGAGAAACTTAAATAAACTTCCAGAGTTTGGCGCACCACGATCCGTCTCTGTCTGGTTCATTCTTGAAAATATGGTAATAATAATGGCTGAATAAAGAAAACATTGGACGGTATGGGCAAATTCCTGGCAGCAGCAGCACCACCCTGAGAGTGCAGGAATGTTAAGAGAAGTGGGGAGGGGGCTGGGGGCTCAAGGGGATGAGAGCAGCTCATGTGGGGGTAGACTCCACTGTGTATGTTTGTGCATTGGGGGGGGTCACTCAGGGCAAGTATCAAATCCCTGTGAAGTGGGTCACGTATTAAAAATGTAATACTCATCTATAAGTCATAAGACGTACGATATGTCAGGATTCATCGATATAGTATTATTCTCCCAAAGCCAAAAGCAATGAGAATGAGCAATGGGTAATCTCCAGCAATAAGAGAGAGAAAATATCTATTCAATTTTCTATTCAATCACAACAGTAGGTATCTCGGATGACTTAAAGTAGGGATATGTAAGATTTTAATGTCAAGTCATCATTTAATGGCGCTAATCTGTCAAAAGGCATTAACAAAACATAGATGTTTGGATTTCAAAACAAGTTTTACAGCGCTTAAATATTGTTATTGTTTTCATTTTGATGTAAAGGTCTCGTTATGGTCTCGAAAAGGTCTCGTTATGATTCTCAAATCATTCATAACAAAATAAGGAATACAACAAGGATTTCTATCTTTGTGAAAAAGGTGTTGGTTATAGATTTGTTATTGACAAAACTCTTTATTCAGGTATTATGGTCCCAGCTGGATTCATCTGCATATCTGGCAACCTGAGTCAGGGAGAGTGCAGTACCACTTTTGGCCAGATTTTTACATACTGCTCCTTTAACAAAAACATTGAATTTGCCAACACAGATCAGAGAATCAAACCATTCGAACACAAGAAATGCAATGATTAAAACAACACCAATGTCCATAAATGTTGATAAATTTCCAATAATAATGTTAAATGTTGAGTGTGGATCATCACCACTGTCCTTTCTATCAGCTACATAGAAAACATTTGTGAATACTTCCACAGGCTATTTTAGCTAGACCTCGCTGCCAAGGCTTGGCACACAAATGTCACAATGAATAATGACTTCTGCCATCTCCTCTCTCCTATTGGTTAAAATAGGGGCGCTGTACAGTGTGGTTTGAGGCTAACCAATCAAAGCATCTATGGGCAGGTTCAGGGCATTGGCAAGACCATTGGCAAGAGTGTTCACTGCAACAACCTGGCTAAAAATCTGTACTTGCAGGCAAAGCAAAAACAAATATATGTGAAAAGGTCTGGTGTAGTACTTAAGACAAATGGGGCTTGCAAGTGGGGAGAGCTTCTCAACAGAGCTTAGTAATGTCTTTGAATTACTTTATAAATAGAACAATTATAATGATAAAGTATAATGACCTCTACAGCATTTATGGAAGGGAGCGCAATGTTCGCTATGGCTCCGGATTTAGATTTTATGTATATGTAACTTTCCCCATTGGTTCAACAAGCCAAATGTTTTTAATAACGCTAACTGGCTATGTGATAACTGAAAGCCATCCCATGTTTTCGTTAGGCCGGAAAAGCAGAACCTATTGTTCAGCAAAAAAAGTGCAAGTAACCTGGTAGATTTTTGAGCTTCTTTATACTTAGAAATCACCACTTTTTTCCAGACACCCTGTCGGAAAAAATACACCTGGAACAATTTTCCAGAGATTTTTGTTTCGTTTTTTTAACTTGAGGCTTAGACATGCTGAGAAGAGATCATTCTATAATGACTGCAGGATGAAATGTGTTTGCAAACTATTTTTAATCAAACAACCCAATGTGCAACAATTCCTCTCTATGAAGCTGCATCACTTGAGATTTGTTTTGGTATGTTTAAATGGAGTTTTAAAAAGTCCCATATTCACAGACTTTTTTCTTGCTAATCAATTAACATGGCACAGATATGATGGCGCCTAGTAAGAGCTCTATCCTTGTGCACAATGGGGAAGTCTTGTACAGTTATTCCAATGGGGTTTTACTGCAAATGGCAAGCAAACTGAACCTGAATTAATCAAAAGTCAAACAAAGTCAAAAAGTCAAAAGTCAAAACAAATATAAATAGAATTTAACCAAACGTGCTCAGGTGTAGTGTAAAAATAGGCCACACGTGAGGGAGCTCTCTTTAAGTAGATTTAAACGTGTCATCGCCTCCGCACACTGACCCTGCTCTCACACACTGGACATGTGAGCTCCAGGTCTGCCCTCACCTGTCGGGCCACTTTGCGAGCCTCCCAGTACGGTTTGGAGTCGTCCACAGCTCTGCCAATCCTCTTCATCTGCTCGTCCAGCTTCATTGTCGCTTCCACCAGGACTGCCCGAAAACGCTGGCGGTAGTCCTGGATGGAAAAGAAACACATTTTAGACATTTGACCTACATTTCTATAGTTGGTGAAAGCATGGTTTCTCTAACTGTGCTACTTGAGCTCATTCTGGTACAGGGATTCCTCCGCAGTTCAATTATTGATAGGATGACTCTTTCGGGTTAACGCTTTAGACGCCATAGAATTGGACGGAGCCTTGAAACTTTATATCAGCTAGCTATTAAAATCAAAAGAGAAATCAGGAGAAAAAAAAAAAGAAAAAAAAAATATGTTGGTAAAAGGCAGGTTGCTGTATAGAAAGTCCTTTCAATACAAGGCTCCATCAGACTGGAATAAACTCCCCACATCCATACGATCCATTATGTCTTTTGGTTATTTAAGTTTGAATTATTTAGGTTCCTTAAAATTTTAAGTTTTGGGTTTTTTTGGTTTTTATTTTGGTGTGTGTTTATGTAATTCTCGTTTCTTATTCTTAATGCTCTGTAAATTGTTTTGTATGCATGTATGTGTGTATGTTTTTGTTTATTTATGTTTAGGACCTCCGAAAATGAAATGATACATCTCAATGGGCTTTAAACTTCTAAAATTCTGCTACTTTGGCGTCAAAAGGGCCCCCAAAAAAAGGAAGTTCCGGTTTTGATATGGGCACTACTGTTTGATGTTAAGGGGATTTCAAAAAGTTTCAGAAAACTTGGGAATAATGCACACATAGATATTTGAATGTTTTTTGTAAGTATTAGCTTTAGTATTTAGAGCACTTTAAAAACTTTGGCTTTTTGCACAAACTGAGCTGACTCATGAATTAAGTTTTTTTAATGATATTTTTTTGGTGATTCTGGATGTTAGTGTCTTCATGTTTTATCCATTAACTTGTAGTAGTAAATGTGTCATATACAGTAAATCAACTTAGATTTTTTATCCCACACCAGTTTCCACAACAGTTACACATATACACAAATATACACACACAAACCACAACTCAGTACAGAACAGAACAGAACAAAGAAACCACAGTAATTTAGTGATAACTATTGGAAGCCCAAATTCAGACTGAAAAACCCAGGCTACCACTGCTCACCTGCCACACAATGCTGATAATGCAAATTTTAAAACCGCATTTACTTTTTGAATGCACAGCAGCTGCGTCCTGTTGGAAGAATACACGCGCAGTCAAAAAGAGGGCGCAGCGGGAAGCAAGTTTCCTGTGACATCACCCTGATCCTGACTGACTGCTCCATGACACACATCCAGAGGCATACCCTATGGAACTGCACAATCTACAGGCTGTCACTTGTCTAAGACTCCGATGCCCTTTGACACAAAAAACAAGTGTAAGTCATAATTGCTGTTCCAAATTGTATAAACGCTAGTCAGAAATGTTAGTCAGCTAATTCAAACAGGAGAGCAACAGGTAAACAACATGTCGCCGGGGGAAACATTCTTCAGCTTCTCTTTATCATTTGCCATCATGTTGGAATCGTACTGGCCTACATACCGTGCTAACTACCGCGGACATGGTGGCGCAGTGATGAGGAGTTTGCATGTTCTCCCTGTGTAGGTTTCCTCCAAGTGCTCTGGTTTCCCCTACCATTAAAAACATGAACAATAGGTAATGAATGTAATGGTAGGAGGCTGAGACCAGGGTCTGTGAAACGCGCTGTAAAAATAACGATAATTTACTTCAAGATTCAAGATTAATTTATTATGTCCCGTAGGAAATTTGTCTTGGACTTACTTAGTCCTATTGCATTCAAAGCACTACTGTTGTGTTGTTCTTAACTGTATTACCACAAAGATTGAGCTAAATGTAATCAAATCAAACTAATCTCACTCAGAAAATTTAAATCCATTACTAGCTTTCACGTGCATGTATTTTTGGCCTCTGTCACATCTTTAGATCAGCTAGTTCAGACAGAAAATTGAATGAGAGAGGTCCATCCGCATGAAGCCAATCAACTCTCAACCCAAACAGTCAAATAGAGACTCACAGGGCTCTTTCTTACAAATTTGCAAAAGATAAAATGGTTTTGCAGATGAAGACAGCATGTTGCGGTCTGATTTCTTCGCAAAATGTTAATTTTACGAGCATCTCACTGTCGTAAACGTGTTATTCATACAAAAAAACTAGGTACCCCAGCTTTAAGTAATCTGTTTATTAAAAGTTCAAGCTTCATAGTACAGCTAATGGCCACAATTATTTAAAACCTCCAAAATGATGGCAGCCAATCTGTGCCGACGACTTCGACCCGCTAATAATAACTTTAATAGCATTCTAAGTGTCTTGCGCAAAGGCACAACAACATGCATTGGTTGGGTGGGATTGAACTGCCAACTTTTATGTACATTTGGGACCACTTCAGAAATGGTACAACAACAACACTACGTCACGTACATTATGAATACTACTCTCTTACTACATTTACAGTCAAGTTTGCTGCTGAACAGATCCACAAATAAAGGTAAACTAAAAAAAAAAATGTGTAAAACAAAAGTTACTAATTTACACAAGTAGGTGAAATGTGTAAACTTGGTCAACTATTGTATCCGGTTTGCCAGTATCTTTAACTTCATACACGGTGCAACGCTGATAAGTTTTGTGGGATCACTCTGTCCTACAAAAGCAGACGTGTGGATATCTGGGCTAATTCAAGAATCTTGTGATCTCCTTCTTCTGCTTTGGATAAGAGGAAAGAAGCACAACACTCTCTGGGGAAACACATGGGCTGTTTTTCCATCGCTGAATAAGTAATTGCCGTATCAAAAACACGCCTGGATTTGTTTAAGAAGGAAACATTTAAACGACAAATGGAGGAAGAGGTCATAGAATTTTGTGCATTTTTCTGAGGCGTGTGAGACAAAGGAAACTCCATGGTCAGTGATGAATGCGAACTTGGGGTTGGGGTGGACCCAGACCCCTGTTGACGTAGCTGTAAACCAAATGTATAACTAACTATACATGATTATCGACAACCAATCACTCAGGCAAGTTGGTGTTTTGCTATAAGGCACAATGACAGTATACAATAAATGTCCAAACTCTGAGATATTTTTTCCATGAATTTGGGAAACTCCTCTGATTAACTTTTTCCACAGTGTCAAGCAAAGAAAACTGCCCACACCCAAAATGTTTACTCTATGAATGCATGTCCTTTGATTTTGCATACAGATACTCTAGCACTAATGTCTTACCTCAAGTTCACTTTCCCACCGATTAATGTCATCTGTAGACTGGTTTAACTTCTCCAGTTCTCCCTGTTTACAGACAACATGAAGTTAGAGAAGACAAGACAGCACGTTTCTACATAAATGAAAAAAAAAACAACTGTGGAAAGGAACTGGTTTGATAAAAAATAGAAACCCTTTGCATTTTTGTATCCACCACATTTCTCACCTGAATTCTGGGGTCCACTTCATCTTCATCAGCGCACTGGACGTCCTCTTCACTGTTTTCCCCATTCTGTAAAGGATCCATTATATCGCCTTTATTGTATGTCTCCTGCGCAATTTCTTAAAAATGCACGTGCACCGCTGTCATAATCTTCTGTCATTTTCCATTTCACCTGGAAAATAGTGATGAAAGCCCGTCACCTCAACCCACAAGAAGCTCTGACTCGCTATGAGTGTTTCCCACTTGCGTAGAGCACTGAACTCCACCACCCCATCAAGTAGCCGCACATATCTTTTGGATTTTCAAAATAAAACTGCCACGCTTCACTTACTACAATTTACAATACAATACAATACAATTTATTCTTGTATAGCCCTAGGTCACAACAGAAGTCATCTCAGAGGACTTAACAAAACCATTGAAATCACCAACACAGGTCAGAGAATCAACAGTTAAAACACATGAAGAATACAGTATAAAGCACACACAGAAGAAAATGTCCATACATGTTGTAGAATGCTAAAGTGTCCTGATCATTACCAATCCTTTCTGTTGGACACTAACTGTCCAACAAGACCCTCCTGCATCGACAAGGAAAAACTCTTAAAAAACCCAGTGGGAAAAAGTGAGAAACCTTGGAGGAGAACTAGGGAAACCCACAGGGAGGGAGACCCATATGAGAAAGGGATCCGCTCCTCCGGACGGACAGGCTAATGATCTAGGACCTAAGCTAGCTACAGAACGTGGACCAGTGGACGCTGAACGTGGACAGGTCCGGTGCAGGACTGAAGCACTCCCAGGCGGGTCGGGCGGGGCAGTCCGCAGGTGTAGATGGAAGAGGCCAGGCTCAGAGATCCCGTCATCGTACCATGAAACAGACAATGGGACAACGGGTGAATAGCAATGAACAAACTACAGTCAGAATCCTAAAAATGCTAAACAGATAAAGTAGGAAGGAGGAGAGGATAGTGCTCAAGTTACCATACTTCTCCCAGCAAACTGACTCCCTATGCAGCTTGACTGACACTCTGAGGAGTTTAACCTTCTCCGAGTCTTACCTTCCTAGCCATATGCTAAACTAAAGAGGACTGTTTTAAACCAGCCTTGAATAAAGAATAACATACAGCATAATATATAACATAATATACAACATAACACAATACATTATTGAATAATATATAACATAATATATAACATAATACAGCATATATATATAATATATACACTACATATTATATATTACCTAATTATATGCTAAATTAAAGTAAAGTGCTTTAAGCCTGGCCTTGAATGTGGAGACCGTATCTGCTTCCTTAACATAAATGGGAAGCTGATTCCACAGTAAAGGAGCTTGGTAGCTAAATGCTCTGCCACCAACAGTGACCTTTGAGACCTTAGGGACCACCAGACGTCTGGCGTTTTGTGAGCGCAACGCTCGACCTGGTTGATACGACACTAACGTGTCTTGGAGATAAGAAGGAGCCAAGCCATTTATGGCTTTATATGTTAAGAGTAGGATTTTAAACTTTATTCTGTACTCCACAGGGAGCCAGTGGAGTGATTTTAACACCGGAGTTATGTGCTCCCTCCTTTTGGTACCTGTTAAGATCCTAGCTGCTGTATTCTGAACGAGCTGGAAGCTCTTCAAAGAGGCTTTAGGGCACGCTGCCAGTAAAGCGTTACAGTAGTCGAGCCTTGAGGTGACAAACGCGTGAATGAGTTTTTCCGCGTCACTTTTAGGAAGGAAATTCCTAATTTTAGCGATGTTCCGTAAGTGGAAGTACGCCGTTTTAGTTGCTTGGCTTATATAAGCCTTGAAGGAGAGTTCTTGGTCAAAAATGACTCCAAGATTCCTCACAGTGTTACTGGGTATTATACTGACATTATCGAGAGTAACCATCTGGTTAGTGAGGGAGTCACGCAGGCGCTTCGGACCGAGTAGGATCACTTCTGTCTTCTCCGGGTTGAGAAGTAGGAAGTTAAGAGTCATCCACATTTTAAGGTCCTTTATGCAGGCACTGAGCTTTTCTAGCTGATCTGTCTGATTAGGCTTCATCGACAGATAAAGCTGTGTGTCATCTGCATAGCAGTGGAAATTAATTCCATGCTTTTTAATAATGTTTCCCAGTGGCAGCATGTAGAGAGTAAAAAGAATCGGTCCGAGTACCGAACCCTGCGGCACACCGAATTCCACTCCAGAATAAGGCGACGAGTCCTGATTCACATTGACGAAGTGATATCGATCTGATAAATAGGATTTAAACCAGCCAAGGGCTGTTCCTCTAAGACCTATATCACATTCTAGCCTCTGCAGTAGAATGCTGTGGTCTATTGTGTCAAATGCAGCACTAAGGTCCAGTAGGACCAGCACTGACACTTGTCCATTATCGGCAGCTAGTAGTAAGTCATTTGTGACTTTGACTAGTGCCGTTTCAGTGCTATGATGAGCTCTGAATCCTGATTGAAAGACTTCAAACATATCATTTTCCTGCAGGTGGCAGCGGAGCTGCTCAGCTATAAGTTTTTCCAGGATTTTAGATATAAAAGTGAGGTTTGAGATCGGTCTGTAGTTTGTAAGTATTTCTGGGTCCAGGTTTGTTTTCTTCAGAAGGGGTTTGATTACCGCGGTTTTAAAAGCTTGTGGGACATAGCCACATTGTATGGATGCGTTTATTATATTTACGATAGGCTCAATTATCAAAGGAAGTATGTCTTTGAAGAGCCATGTCGGGACTGCGTCTAACATGCAAGTTGAGGCTTTTGAGGCTTTTGAGGATGTGACCACCATGGATCTATAATAATTACGCTTACTGTGCATCTTATTTACAAATAATGAGTCAATCAATAACTTTCGTGGCACATTTACCTTCGATAATATCAAACGTAAATGCATCAGAACACTTTCTTTTGTATTATTGTTTTACTTTGACATAAACAACACGTTTCCGGTCTACATTGTTGTGTTGTCGCGTGCATGCGGGTGTGAGTGGGATCCACGCGCCATCTGCTGGAATACACACAGAAACAATGCGAACTGATGTGCCAGGCTTTTGTGTTATAAAGTGAGCACATTTAGGCAAACTGAACACACTCGCTTTCTCTATATTGAGTTATTCTAGGTCTTAATTCTAGTGTAAGTATATGACGTAGAAAACGACTACGCCTAGTTTTTGATGTGGTTCTCATGGACACAAAACAAAAAACAACAAAAATATACGTTAAAGTCTGAGCTCGTTGCTTGTTTACACCCAGCCAAAAAATCTATGTCCAGTTCTGCCATGTGGGTCACTTCTCCCCAGTGCGTCTTCTTGGGGCGCGCTTCTGCAGCGTCTCCTTCGGCTCCGCGCTTCGTCATCGCGTCGCTCAGTCCCACGCTGCGTCCTTTGGCGTGTGTGCATGTTGGGAGCGTCTGATTTCATAACGCGGCCAGAACCAAAGGGATGGAGCAGGAATAGCGCGAGGCCCAACACATAATATCTCGCTGTAAAACGAAAAACCTGCGCGTCCCAGGCCATGGTTCCAAGTTGTTGCTGATGCTGCGATCCACACACCTTTTATTTGTGTCTCGAGCATCTTAGCCGTGACGTCAAGCCCAGCGGGAGCCAGGCGCAGCGCGGAGCGGAGCATGGACTTCAAGCATCTGGTGGAGGCGGCGGAGAAGTGGTGCACTGGGAACCCGTTCGACCTGATCTTCGCCGAGGAGGACGATGAGAGGCGGCTGGACTTCTATGCGGAACCCGGCGTCTCCTTTTACGTGCTGTGTCCGGGAGGCACCGACACCTTCGTAAGTTGGGCCCATACTCTGTGTATGTTGTCATATGGCCTATACTGTAGGTGTGTCGCTGTGCGTGTTGGCCTCCTGTCCTGATACCAGAGTTGACCTGTTTTGTTGCTTAGGTGATGATGTCATTTTTTGTTTTAGTGCAGTGAGGTCTGTTGTTCCACATCAGCCCAATGAAATACAGTGTGTCTGAACCACAACAACGGCAAACCATCCGGGGTACAAGAGGACGCCTCCATCATAAAGGAAACAGGCTAGTGAAGGCTTTGGAGATAGAGGAGTTGGTTAGCCTGATATATGTTCAGAGCTGTACAAGCTATATCTGAATAATGTACAATTATAAATTGGCAGTTGTAAAGTGTACACAGCATTAAGGCCAGACATACACTTTAAAGCATAATGGTGCATATGTGTTTCCTGAATCAGCTCTTCACACCATCCCTTAGATTAAGAAATGTACAGGCAAAATAATCAATACCTTTCGTGACTAATGCAACATTAACTTCTGTCATTTCCCTCATGAAGAAGCATAATTGGTGTTCAAGGATAATCTGCAGTGTGGGCACTTTTGCCTAATAGGAAGCTTAGAAATTTCCCCCAACATTCAAAATAGCTGGAGCAAGAATACACAACATTATGTTGAGTTTTGTTAACAGAAATACACTGTACCCAGTGCAAAACAGATAGAAAGCCATAAGTTGATGTCAATGTAATGTGATATTTGTGTTGTGATTGATGGGAATACCATGGTGCAGTGGGAAACTGTTGTTGTGTTTTTGGGCAATACACTTCACCAACAACACCCTGTATGGTGTGTGCGTGTGTGTGTGTGTGTGTGTAATTGATTGGGGGTGATCGGATAGGCCAATGGCACAGATTGGTTGCCTTGCTTCTTTCAGGCTGCCCCCAGGCAGCTGTGGCAACAGTATTAGCTTAACACCACCTTGTGTGCATTGAATGCATAATATGTAAAGCGTGTATGGACATCCTAAACAGCGCTACATCAGCCTGATGCATTATTCCTATTCTCTCTCTTTGGCATCAGTAAAAGTATGTAAACGGCTTGTGCTAGGTGTGCTGGTTCTATCGCTAACTGCTCTCCCTTTGCACTCGCTCGGTCACAGTGAAGCAGAGCAGCTGCAGCAGATGGACATGACCCTGCACAGAACTCTGCTCACTCAATAACACATTATGTCACACACTGACCACTGGCTGCCTGCCTCAGTGCCTGCCCAGCCCTGCTCCACACAACACACACAGAAAGAGGAAAAAAAAAAAGAACTGCAAAATCCGGGGCTTTCCATTGGCAGTGATGAAAAACACAGCTCTATGATAAGTCTGAAATCCAGATCAAACCCGGAGCTTACACAGTCTGCTCTACAGGGAGGTAATGTTATATAAGAGGGCAGCAGTAGGGGGTTAAGGATCCCTTCAACAATAATGCTCCCCAGTGCGGATAAATAATAAATGTACGGGACAGGAGCCATGTCTTGCAAAGTGAGGTGAACTGATGAGGATATGAACTTTAGCGCAGATATAGCTCAGAACAAAGGATTGTCTACATTCTAATTGGAGCTGCAGTCAGTAAAAATATTTCTTTGGTAATTTTGATAACAAAATGTAGTGATTCAAAGCTTAACCGTGTCCCAGGGAAGGAGCCGGGGAAAAGAGATGGCAGCTAAATTACATAATCACTCTGCAGGGCCATAGAAAACGGCATAGAAGAGCGATGAGTTCAGGCAGGCTATGAAAGCACACGGGGCAAGTTCTCCCTGACAGTAGTGGCTGCTATATATTTTAAGATATGTTTAATTAGTTATAGAATAATAACTAGAAGTATATAACTGCAAGAAAACAGTTCTTTTTAAAAATGTATACACTAGCTTTTTTGAGCAGCATGATGGAAAATATACAGAATTGTAATTGTTGGTTAATTGCATGCATATCAATTGTGAGTGAAATTAGCGGCGATGTAGGACTTGGGGAGCAGATGTGACCTCTCAATCTTGATGCAATCTTGTGAACTGTCTATGGATCTTAAGAAGTACCCAGCTGGATAACAAACAGACAGACAATCTAGATTGATAGATAGAAATATTTCCACGGTTATTTAAGTATTATTAATCTTTGGCTCAGAGCACTGTGTTATCCGTTTGTATCAGATTTGGCACTTTGTGAATAAGCCTGAATAACATCGTGTCTCCCTTCTTTTTGTATTACTTTATTGTGTCTTCTTCATTAGTTCACACTTTTTTTTTTTTTTTGCATAATACATACAGCATAACAAGACACATTTTCATTTGTTCCCCTCCCAAAATGTTCCCCTTGTGTCCAAAAAAGTATAATAAAACAAAGCATAAACATAAATATATAGACAAACATAATTTCTACAGCTATGTATTGTTTACCAGCAGGACATCAAAATTATTCAAAATTAAAATGGAAAAAAGCCTGTCTCTCTCCTTCAAGCTCGCTGAGATGTGGTTACTTTCATTGGATCAATGCGTCTATCAGCAGGAAGCCTCCCATGCTGCTCCCCTGCTCTACACTGCTTATCTCCATTTGCTTTGTTTCCAGGAAAGAGCTGCGGGGAAGGTGTCTGTGCTTATTAGTCCACAAGAGGGTGCACTTGGCTCTGACCCATCAATATCAAAACTTCACAAACTTCTGCCAAAAAAAATTACAACACGAGATGGGTGTTTTGGGCTCTTGCTCAATAAGAAAGTCATCGCCATCATCAGTGTTGTGTATATGGTAAAGGCTATGTCCCAAAATGAATGCAGGGAGATTGTTATTGTCAGCATTTCACAACACCCTCATGAGATTCCCCCAAATTCTCTCTAAAAGCTACTCTATATCAAGTGATTGATTTTTTGTGTGTTCTACTTCTAATGTCCATTTTGGCACTACTAACCTTGTGTATGCAGTAATGAACACTATATGACACACATTGCCAAATACCAGTGGAAGCCTTAATGTAATCTGAGAGTGGGGCCTATTGACTGCAGGCTTGGATTGGCTCCAGCACTGTACCTCAGACACCGGCTTTCACCATACACTGTAAGTGACTGGCAAAATGCAAGGAGGAAGTTTCATGTTTATTATCAGGGGCAAACATCTCGAATCAAGGAAACAAAGCAGCACTTTGAAGTTTTATTGGCCACACTCAATCACACAAATGACCCGTTGCTACTATCACATTACTCAGCGGTATTCTCAATATTGGTACCCAAAGTGTGCCAGTGGAAAGATAGCACCAGACAGAAGTTCAAATGTGGTTGTATGATGCAATGGCTCTCTTGGGATAGACTATGTGCTTCTTGTTGTGGTATTAGTGGATGACAAAATATGCCTTTATGCTGTATTACATCTATAATAATCTAGTAATTCAATGCACTTCATTTTCTCAGGATATGGGAGTACACAAGGATCGATCTGCTATAGCTGGTTTTTTATGATTAGTATTAGTTTTCTATTCATCTGTTCATCTGTTCAAAAGTTCATCTGTTTTGAACTTTGGGGACTTTTTGTTCCTATGTAACTTGTATAGTATTTAATCTTACCCCTTACTATACCGTTCTGCCTGTACAGGTACAACTGGATTTTATAATTATTGTTTTCATATTTCATAAAATTCATAAAAGAAAACCATGTCCCTCTTAATTAGATTCAAATAATTTTGGGTCAAGCAGATTGACTCTCAATACACCAGCTATACCCCAAACTTTCTTGGTGCAAAGATTGTTCCCACTTATAATTAGAATGTATGAGTTATGCGAGGCCAGCGTTACAGGGCTTCAGCTTCACAAGGGCATGTGTTGTATGTGTGTTCTTTCTACTGTCCTGTATGTGCACTGCAACACTGAAATTTCCCCAATGTAGGAGGAATAAAGGTTCTCTTTCACTAAGAGTCCAGTTTGTGGATCAAAGGTTTCTCAGACAGGGTTTAGTTTGAATATTAGAGAATAAAGGTCAGTTTAATAAAGGGTGAAATATAGACCAATTGAATTTAAGTTGAAAAAAACAAAAATACAGTGTGCATATGATATAATGTGAAAGTGTGAGTGTTCTAATCTGACCTGTGTCCTCTGCAGCACGTGTGGAGTGAGAGTGAGGACTGCCTCCCCTTCCTCCAGATGGCCCAGGACTACATCTCGTCCTGTGGGAAGAAGACCCTTCCCGAAGTGTTGGAGAAAGTCTTCATGTCTTTTAGGCCTGTAGGTATTTGACACAACATATTACACACTTAATCAGAGCAAACAGTGACGTGTGTTTGAGATCATGTCCCGACAAAGATAGAACGTCTCGTGCCAGGACTTGGCTTCATGTTCTCGAATTCAGCTGGAGGGCCAGTGCCAACACAACTATAGGAGAAAAAATTCAATTTTCAAGAAATGCTGAATTGTTTCCCCAGATCATTATATCACATTAGTTTCAAAAACCCAGCATTTTATTGTTGTGCCTGAAATGTTTGTCTGCTGACCAACTTTATGAGTCACCTTTATGAGAAAATAATTACACCATATTTATAATGACCAGCTTTGTCCAATATGTAGTGACCCAGGAATGACAAAAAAAAGCTACTAAACCAGGGGCGTCCAAACATTAAGGCAAGACATCATTGATTGAAAAACTTGACTGGCATCGGGCTGTTATGATCTATAACAAAGCTGAAGTTGGCTGAATGACAAATGTTTACCATCTCACTAGCCAAGTGAACTTTAGAACAAGGTCTATATTGGCTGAGCTGAAGTTGGATTGATGACACAGTGAACTTGTGTCTATGATCTCAAAAACTACTTTGGCTTAGCAAGGCAGAGGGCCACATAAAGTGACACTGATGGCCGCAATTGGCCCACAGGCCTTAGTTTGGACATGCCTTGCTCTAAACCAAGACTGGACTTTTCATACTTACCAACGTTACCTGGAAAGATTAAACTAGAAGAGCGATTTAAGAGCGCAGACCTTTGCCAAGAGTTACAGTTCTATTCCTTAAAAAAATAATCTGCATCCAGATGGGGATTCATATCACCTCCAACATTGAATCGGTTTCTTGCAACTGTTGTCCAAATCTTGATAACTGTTTGAGTTATGTTGCTCAACGATAAACAGACAAACAAACAAATGCAGGTGATCAACTTACCTCCAGAGAGCAGAGAGCAGAGTTAACTATAAGCTTTTTTGGAATGTTGTGACGTCACATGAACGTAACCTATTGAGTCATCCACTGTTCCTCATAGGGTTATTTGAGTGACATTGTGGCTCGGTGGTTAGAGCTGTCCCCTCGCAGAAAACAGCTCGTTAAGTTGACTCCCGGAAAGAAAAGTCTATCTTATCTTATCTTCTGAGTGGAGTGGAGAATAGTGCCTAATTTCTTCTAGATGCTTTGGTTTCCCCTAACACTAAAAACATGTTCAATAGATCTATGGATGAAATGTCACGTTTTGTTCTGTTAGCTTTGGTTCGCCTGGGAGAGTTAGATGTACGCCGTCTCACATAACATCTTTATATCACATGCTTTGATTTAACCTTAAAATAGATATACAAAATATATCAACATTTATGTGTTATTTCTTCTGCATAGTATAATACATAAATTGCTTTTGCCAAAGTAGGTATCAGCTGTATTTGTACTTGTGACAGCACGGTGGCTGAGTGGTTAGCCCTCTCGTTTCTCAGCAAGAAGGTCCTGGGTTTGATTCTACCCCCGTTACATAATCGGCCTTGAAACAACACTGAGGAAGAGATTCTGAAATCTAAGTGGGACTTTCCTGGACAGCAAAGGTCAATAATCAATAAATGATTACCACTTGAGTAAAAATATTTGTTACTAAGATGAGAGAATGGAAGAAATGCATTGTGCGGTAAAACAGACCTATAATAAAAAAGAAAGTGAAGGGAAAGAAGCAGCAGACTAATGTCCCCAGCCGTTCAGAACTCATGTTAATCATTAGCTCAGACAGTCACATACTGCTTTATAACTGCAACACTGGGCTTGCTCCTTCCAGCTCTTAGGTCTCCCGGACATCGATGACGACACGTTCGAGCACTACCACGCAGACATGGAAGGAGAACCAGGGCCCGACCACCAGCAGATGGGCGTCAGTCAACAATGAAGAGGTCCCAATGGGATGGCGAGGTCCGGAAAGCTGCTCATCGGCCCAATTATTACCATTCAATCTTACACAGACACACACACACTTAAATATATCTCCCCTGAATGTTCTGTGCTGCTTTGCTTTCTATAATGGGCGCACCTTGTTGCTCTGTGTTGACCCCTCAATAGACAAACACTCACATAGATGGGCTACGTGAGCGGCAACCATGTACAATGCAACTTTATCGTAATCATTCACCATCGGGGCAGTTAAAGTTACACGCCACAGCAATATTACATCAGCTGGCTGTTTTTCTGCAGAAAGGCAAGTCAGATGGTAACAGCAATACACGCTTTCCTGTGTGGAATTTGAGATCGGGGCAGAAAATGGTCCAGTTTCTGTGGTCGCTGTCGATTTAGATTGAGGAAAGATGCAGTAACACCCAAGCTCTTAAAGAAGATATATTATGCATTATTTTCAGCCTGTAAAAATGATAATCTGTTTTACTTTTTATTTCATGTTTTAGAATTTGAAAGAATCTAAAGTTGAAAGATTTATGGTGAAAGAGGTTTGAAGGATAAAAAGTGCTATCCCCCAACAACTCCCTATACTACCACCAGAGGGATGGGTAATTTTTCAATGTTATTTTTACTGATTGAGATTAGAGCCTTGCACTTGAGCCCTTGGCCCGAGGGCCCCGACGGCCCGACAGCCCGAGGGCCGGGCTTCGGGCCGATGACCGCATAATGACCTCGGACACGGGCCGGGCTCGGGCTCTTCATTTTCAGAGCGGCAGAATACATTTACGAACGCACCCACTGAATATAGCGTTCTATCACGCTGTAGTGTTTCTTGTTCTGTGTAGTGTTGTCATTGACGGCACATAGCATTACTTATGTAATGTGCAGATGTGTTGCAGCATCGGGGGCATCATACAGCTGTGTATCATACAGCTGTGTATCATACAGCTGTGTATCATACAGATGCGGCCGTTCACTCTGCACCACTCCGCACACACAGAACTCATTGCAACACATCACTACCATGTATAACTCCGCCCTCTAGCTAAGTCTGCGTTCATATCAGTGCGCGGCACTATATACTACGCTAAAACATTGTTATGGGAGGTTACAAAAAAAAAAAAAAGGCGGGCTTGATGCGGGTTTCGGGCCTGAAAATTCAGAAACCATATCGGGCCGGGCCGGGCTGGGGCGCCACCCCCTCGGGCCAGGGCCGGGCTCGGGCCCAGATAATAGGCCCGTGCAGGGCTCTAATTGAGATCACAGCCATGCAACAGTAACAAACTTAATTTCTCCTGATAAATTGGCACAACTAATTTATGGGCAATACTCGCAAAACATATACCTCCGTTTTGAAAATGTTTTGTTATTGGCAGCAACTTTGATAGGATTTGCTCAAGAAAGGGTGAACTTGTTTGTATACAACAAATGAGAACTGGCTTAAAAAACCACAACAACAAAACAAATAAAAAATTGACTTGGTAAAGGGCAAAGTTAAAGCCTTTCAAATATTTTGTTTTTCCCGAATGGTACTTATGGAGCTATTCACTTATGGGCAACACTTTTGTTTCAAAAAGGAGGACACTGCTCTGAGTGCGATGTATTAGTGTTACATTTAAATCAAACTATAAAACAAAACGGAGACATTAACTTTTTGACAGAGGTGGCGGAGTTACCAGAAGCTCCTGGATGGATTGGTCTAAAAACAAATCAAGTCTGTTAATGATTAGGTTACAATGTTGCAATAGTTAAAAGCTAAAAAAAATCCATATTTTTTGCATAATATGTCTCCTTTAAAGTTTATCAACAAATTCCAGTAAGGGAACCAGGAAAAGGGTGGTTTTGCTATGACGTAGTCCTAGGTATAGCTGTTGGCATCTGGTCTCCCCCAATATGCAGTTGTCACACATCTGCCCATGTGTGTGCAGTTTAACAGTAGAACGGGTCACGAATACGGAATAATGTGCCTCTGAGGTTGAAAAATTCACCTAAATGATGTGAATAACATGTTTCAGACGAGACTGTGACAATGATTATTTGACAACAATAGGAAAATCCCACACAACAGCAGCTGAAGTGCTTCCCAGTTTGGGTGTCTCACTGTCACATGACACCGTTTTGTCTTGCAGTCTTCCTGGTTGGTGGTTTGCCCTATTTCCCCTTACTTTTTAAGGGTTAAATCTTGAAGTTGGCCCAAAAACATCTCTGACTAGTGTTGTTAGAGATCTCCAATACGAAATCATGGGGTGCAGTAAACCCTAAAATTGTATGAGGGAATGACCCATCTCTATTGTAACGATGTAGGGTATTGTAAATCACTTATGTACTGCAAAGCTTTGGATCCATTTTTGAACACTCAGCCCTAAAGCTCGTTTTTAGCAGTTTTGTTTGGCCTGTCCTCGCTTGTAAATGTTTTGTCTTTATAATCCTATTTATTCTGAAGTGTCCACCCTGCAGTGACTCTTCTGTTTGTCCCGATAGCGTGTGCGTGTGAGATTGTTCAATAAACGTGTCATAAGAATGTTTCAAAGGCAACGTTTCTTTGTTTTCTTTGTCGAGCGAAGTTAATGAAACACGCGGCTCAAAACATGGTGGGTTTCTCTTGTCCCGAGTATCAGACATCAGACAAAGCACGCACACTGTAGCGCGCTGCTGCCACACGTCACGCCCCTGACCACAACTGACACATCCACTGACAAAGGCGTCAAGACCCCTGTAATCACTGAGACGCCTGGGATTCACAATAAAAGCGCCCCATCACCAGACTGTCCACACAGTAATGACTACACAGATTAATTTATGATAAGACTAGTAGCCGGCTGTAAGTAAAACCTCATATACGTCAAAGTAAGGCCTAAAAAGGCGTCTATAGAGGATGGTTTTGTTTTAGCCGCATTTTACTTTGAAGGGGACACTTCCTGTCTCTGTTGTTATGGAGTGTGTTGAACTTGTTGGGGGAGGAGAGGAGCCCTTGCTTTTATTTTTCTTCTTAGGGCAGACACAGTTGACCACAACAACAAACTTGAAGCAGACGTGCCGTTTCAGCGAGGCCATCACCACAGCGTGACTTCTCATGAGCGCCGTGCGCTGCCAGTAGAGGAGCGCGCTGCGCCACACCGCCTTTAGTCTGGAACCAGGAGTGCGCACTTTACGCACATGTAAAGTGTCTGGGCTCTATTGTGTGCAACTGTCCTTTGTTGTTTCATGCTTTGTCAGCATCATGGAGAGTCTGTGAAACTTGTCAAGTAAGAAGAACAGAACAAGTCAACATGGGAGGCAAGCCGAGCAGCCCAGTGTATGATGGCAGGACTCGGGCTTATTCCAGCTCAGATCTTCCGTCTGGAAACTCCAGCGGCGGAGGGTTCAGATACACGAACGGCCCAGACGGCCCTCGGATTCGGTACACGGGAGGCAGCCTCATGAGCTCCGCGGTCAGCATACAGGCTGCGCGGACAGGCGCTGTTTTCACGCAGAGTGTGGATGGCACAGATGGTGACCACGAGGGCCCCCCCGAGGGTCACCGGCTGTTCATTGGCTCTTTGCCGGCTCAACTCAACTCTCACCTGCTGGGAGGTAAGGCTCACAATGGAACAACTGTAAAAGACAAAGACAACACAAACTGGAAAAGTGATCACACATAAGTATTTAGCTTATCAGAATGATCTGTCCCCAGGGCGGAACGAACACTGTCAGAGGCCCCATGGATTGTTATGGGGTTCTGGACAAACAACCAATATATTGATAAGAGAGCAAACACAGAGCTGTACTTTGTAACTCCCATCAGTAAGTGTGGTTAAATGACTGTCTGTCCACAGAGAAAGACGTCATGGTGTCAGCGTGAGCAGCTTAAAAAACAAACACATAACTTTCCTTCAGGATAATAATCTTGAACGTCAATTAAAAGTATTATTTCTGTATGTCAGTGGCACACATTAATTTAATACTGATTGTATTGTTCAGTGCTTTGAGGAGAGCAGCCACAGGTGGTGCAGACTTTCAGTTCTCAATGTTATGCTTGAAAAAGTGACCTGTTTTTCTCAGTCTGCAAGAGAAGAGTGCTTTATGTAGGTCAGTTGATAAGAGCTTCCTGCTGGTTACACATTGCTTGATGCGAACACACTTTTTATTTTTTATTCGAGTTTTTAGACATTTTGATGAAACAATCTTGTGATCTGCAGGCGTCTTTCATAACATAAGGTTAGTTATGTACTATCGGCTTCAGGCTACATGGAGCTCAAGTTTACACTGGCATCAACGTTACAACATTGGCCTGCAAGGAAACAGTAGGATGAAAAGCAAACTTCTCTCACAATGATGAAGATGTAAGTGTCAAACAATAGTTGGAACACTAAAGAAGGCATGTTGCTTCTTTTCCTTTTTCTTCCCCTCATGGAGATGCAGATCCTCCCTTCATCTCCATAAACACAGACATATTGTTCTTTTATCTTCTACAGTATCATATGGTAAATGTCCAGATGTTTTTTTATTGTGTTATATAACCTATATTATTCAGTGTTTGAGAAAAGAGTTGATAATATGAAGTTATTTTCCTATAAGCAATATAAATGACAAGAAAAAATGGGTTGTAATTTTCAAATGAGGAAGTAGAATTGTTATCCACATTAATCACCTTTGCTCTTTGCATTCAGAGACTGTGAGGCCAACAAGGGTCACTTGTTCCATGTATTATTATGACATGATATAGTAATAAATATAGTAATAATAAAAAATAGTTATAGTGTTCTTTCACATTACCCTTTATTCATCACTGTGGAACACAATACTGTTTCTCTGTTGTTACTGTATAATTAACACATGTGAAGAGGTTGTAAACATGTAGTAAAATGTAAAAACTGAAACACAAAGGGTATCAAGGTAAAAGGGGAGAGGGGAGATGCAGATGCTGGTATTGAATTTTTTTGCTTACCCATTATCCTGGGAATTTCAATTGATGTAATGTAATGATGTGATGTTTACTTATAATGACCTAAACTAGAACGTCCTCGTTTGACTCTTTTTGACGTAAAAATCTTAAAATAGCAACAGCTTGTTTACTGTAAATATATAGAAAACCAAAACATGAACCTTTAGGATCAGGCCTACGTTCAGTGTCCCACGACTGCAGTGTGTACGCTTCAATAATAAGCATCTGAAAGTGTTTCTCTGTCTCCTCCAGGCTTCCACTGCCCTGTTTGCTCCAAGTTTATGGCCACAGACGAGATCGAGAAGCACCTGCTCATGTGCTTCAGCAAAACACGCCTCGTCTACAACAGTAAGACTGGGTGGAGATGTTATTGTCAATTTTATGAAAGATGACTAAGAAGATCGCCATTGTCTACCGGCTAGTACCAGCTAGTGACAAGTGAATATTATTTTAAAAATAATAAAAGTAATAAGAGATAGCAAGATGTATGAATGTATTAGAGAATAAGGGTGGTAGTAAAATTATAAGGATTTATGTACATTCATATTTTTTTAAAAACAATTTTAGATTTTCAAGTGCCAATAGAATCCTACATGTGTGGCCTGTTGTTTGGCAGAGGACATCCTGTCCAGAGACTCGGGGGAGTGTGCCATATGTTTGGATGAAATGGAGCAGGGGGACACGATTGCTCGGCTGCCCTGCCTCTGCATCTATCACAAAGGGTACGTACCTCCATTTCCACATGTCCAGCTGCCATGTCTCAGTGGTCACAGGCTTTTCCTTCGTCACAGGTGCATAGATGAATGGTTTGAGGTGAATCGCTCATGTCCAGAGCACCCTGCGGACTAAACCATGTTGCTGGACAGCAGCACCGTCGTAGCCCTGACCTCACCCAATTCTCAGGGATCAGACTTTGTCCAAAATCATGTTGCCTTAGAGAACAGCTCTGAACTTATGCTGTTCTAAAAAAAAAAAACACTGGTGGAGCAGCTCAGTGAACATGCCTGAGCGATCACTACTACCTTCACGCCGCCTGAGATCCAGCCGCTCACCTGGAGGTGAAAGCAGAAGACTTGTACAACCAGCATGGTACAGGAGTGACCTCTGCAGAACGAGACTGGGTTGAAGGCTGATGCTGTGCAATGTGAATAATGTAATGTGCCTGTAGTAGCTTTAAGTAACGTTGATATTTATGTTAGTTTGTACTTAGGACATGTTAATGTACCTGAGATGTACACCATGCACTGCATGGGGATGTTCTTTTCTTTGCAAGGAATAATCCAGAGTATGGCCTTAAGAGTGTCTTGCTTTTATTTTTAAAAACTAGTGTTATTTTTGGCTGAAGATGGCACTATCGAGAGGTAGGTTTAATGCCATACTATGGAGCATTCTAAAAAATGGGATTACATCTCCATGGAAAACATCTGGTGATGGATCATGCACCAGGTTACATCTTTGCTTAATGCAATCAAAACCTTATTAGAGTCACTTTCATTTGACTGGCCGGTTAAATTAGGAAATTACAAGTGCCATAAGATGCTGCTATGTCATAGACTGGAAATGTCCCTTTACCTGAACCTCTCTTCACTGTACTTTCTATTTCCACTGTAATGAGTTGCACAATAATAAATGTATGTCTTAGTGTTCTTTACTTATTATACCACTTTTATAACTATTTGATACACCAAAAAAAAAAACCCACAAAGAATATATTTAGCAAAGCTTGGGTGTATTGAAAGGCCACAGATTTTACAGACACGTTTCGACACGGTCACCATCAGCTGGATGCGGTGTAACTACACGGTATATAAATAGAACAAATGCTAAAAGGTTTTTCTGAAAAAAGAAGGTCAGCAAGAACATAATCTTCATTTTCCGCTTTAGTTAGTAGTTGACTTCTAGACGTCTTTGAGAGTGTCTTGCCCTTTCGGGTTCTCCAGCCAGTGTGGGGGCCAGGAGGCTTTGATGCTGGGCCGCTCCTTTAGCAGAGCATGATATTGTGCCAATTTGGGGAAACGGTCAGCCGGCAACCTACAAAATCATTGAAAAAATTAAATATACAATATCTGCAGTTTCTGTCATAATTATATGAAAATGCTGTTACCCAAATCGAAAGAGGTTAGCCACAGCAGGGAAGACCGTCACATCAGCCAGAGAGAAGTTCTGTCCGGCCAAACAAGAACCAGCCCCAACCTGAGAAATAATATAATAATGTCAACATACTTTTCATGCGTGATGACAAAAAACACTTGCCTTTTCCAGGTAACTCTCCCACAGCTTCAGTTCAGTGTTCAAGTCATTCTTGTTTCTCCTCTGTGCAGAATCAAGCCTTTCTGCCTCCGGAACAAAGTACTCATAGTATATCACCGCATCTGTGGAGAAATAAAAAGATAATATATTTCAAATTAAATGTGTAGTGGTAGTAGGAATAGTCCACACACAAGACATGTCTAGTAAACTACCAGAAGGGGGCAGTGTTTAATCAGTTATTATCCGTCTGTTATGTTTTCCTGGACAAAAAGGCATAACAACATTATTTTACTGATTTTCTCATTGAGGACTTGTCCCTCAAACAGGCGTTGGTACATAAGGGCCAGCTCAGCGGGGTTGTCTGGGGTTAGCTTAGTTCCCTGTGACTTGAATTGATCCTGGAGGAATAAAAGAATACCATTTATGAGACATACTTTCTAATGCATAATCTGCTAACAATAGTTCTTACCTCAAGGTACAAGCAAGCTGCATATGATTCATTCACAACGTTGTCCCCATGTTTGAAAGTGGGAAGCTGGGGAAATATTTAGTCATGTATAATATGTATATGACGTTACACCTATCCCTGCCAAAATGTTCAGTTATTCAGACATTCTGATAAAATGTATTGTGCTCAAAATGTTATGAAAACTAATTAGAGGCAGGGCTAAGAAGTTCTGGAACAGGAATTCAACCAACCAGCGTCCATTATCAAATAGTTTAAGACGGATATTTCCACTTAAAAATCCAAAGAATAATAACAATAATAATAATAAACATGGCATCCTTTAACATGCTTTATGCACATTTGAGTAATATAATACTAGCCTACTGCTTGATCTGAAAATGTTATTCTGAGATGATGATCACGTGGGCTTACAGTAAGACCTGATTATGGCCTCAACCCTGACTTCACAGGATTGCATTAGTTTGGTTCACCATTGGTTTGGTTTGAGCCTACCTGTCCTCTGGGGTTCAGCTTCAGCACCTCCTCAGACTTGTGCTCCATCTTCTCAAAGGAGAGCAATTTCTGGTTGTAGCCCTGCAGCTGCTTCTCCTCCAGGGCGATCATGACTCTCCAGCACGGAGCAGAGCCGGAGCCCCAGAGAAGAGTTATGTCTTTGGCCATGGTCTGGACGGTCTGTGGTCTGGTCTGTTCCCTCACGCAGACTGAAACCAGCAGGAGCGGTGGTAATGACAGCTGCAGCTTATGTTATGGTGGCGAACTCTTCTTCTGTAGCGCATAAGAAGATTCATATGCTTATGGGTGGCGCGCTGCTGCCCCTTCTGGTCAGACATGGAACAACAGTTATAAGGGTCCGCTTCGCCCTCTCGCTACTTATTTTCTGATAATGACCTGCGGCATATTTCAAAACGGCATAACGTATTTTCACGTACATAAACACATACACATATCTGCTAAAGGGGTTGGATGAAGCAGACTCCGATATCATCATATTATCGTGGAATCCCACTCCTCAAATGGAATTAGGATTTTGTTGTGAACAACTTCTATTTTTTTCTGTCTTTAAATTGGTATTGGTATTGCATCAAATTTGGAATTCTTTGGAATGTTTATTATGATGACTAGTATTAATAATTCATAATGAGTGGGGTTTAGGAGCACTTCTCCTAAACCAACAACCCCTGATCCAAAATGCCTCTTGTTTTTACCGTTGATCTTAGTGTAGAAAGATTCCTGTTAACAGTTATGGTTGATTTACACTTCTGTCATGTGAACGTTTCAGCTTGTGTCCTGCAGTCTCATGGTCCTCCAGCCGGGGGCAGAGTCGCACTGACAGTTCTATGGATTGACCCCTGACACTCGAACCCATCTTCACAAAAGCAGTAGTTATTATTATAGATCCATGAGCAGTAGTGACAGTGTTCACTTTAGCAATGGTTACTACACACAGCATTAGCATGTAATAGAGAAAGCTTGACTTAAGGGAAAGTAGATGGGAGAAAAAACCTACAGCATGGCTTTCCTGTAAAGTCACTTGACACTGTTGACAACAAATACTGTTTTTTGTATTTTCTTTTTATTGCAGAAAGTGCAGTGCAATGACTGTAACACTGCACTGTATTTGAGACAACATCCAAAATGTCCCAAACTCTGTTCAAGTCAATGCAAAGTATAAAGTGGCAACTATGTTCATTACAAATTCTGCTTTGTCCTTGGAGCAAAAATAATGCTTTCATTTAAGTATCATTCACAAAAGTGTGAGACTGTAATATAATACAACATTCTACAGAAATTACAAAAATAATACACTACCATAACACACTGAACATGCACTGCACTGTGTGATACAGCCATTTGCAGCTAAAGCCCAACATTTACAGAACTCTGGTTGTTGTCAAACTTTACATTTCAAACAGATAAAGTCATTAAATTTATACACTTTACAACTTATGTAAAAACTTTTTTTCTTTTAGTCCATTCCATCTCTCACTGTGAGTAAGTCTAGAATGACATTAAGGTGCAATATTCCACACATTTGAATAAAAAAAAGTCTTAAAATCAATAAATACTGAGAACCGGTGTCCATCACACGTTGCGACAAAAGTACATTCCAAAAGCAGAAATCATAAACTGTGGCGTTGGCAAAGTGGCAGGTTTAAGATTTTGAGATGAATAGTTCAGAATAAAGGTGAAGGCACTTTCACCGGAGACACTCAAATTCTAAAAAACAGATGATGGATATTGAATAAGTCCAACTTTCAGGGAGCACCTTATGAAGCCTTTGGGATTCGAAATAACCTCTATTCAATATGATGCCATTTCACAGTTTAAAATAGAAAGAAGTATTATAAATATCAAAAAAGTGTAAGAAATCTGGAGCAACATTTTATAAATATTTCAGTCATTTCAGTTTTGAGAGATGGTAAATATCTAATTCATAGCTTTTATGTCTTTGTTTTAACCATTGTATTTATGTACCACTGTTGGTAGCATTTCTCTGAGGCAAACTATAGCAGCTGACAAAGACGCGTGCAAGCAAACAGCAGCAGAAAAGGCTGTGAGTACAGAGCAGGACCGAGACGATCAAACTGGTGGTTCTGGAGAATCCACTAATCCTAAAGCCAGGGCCTCTTCTGGGGTCAAACCGCTTTTTAATGTCCGTCGCACTAAAATGAGAAGACAGATAATTTCACACGATTTTCACAAATGTATAGAGATGCAGTTTTGTGAAAGGTGGGATCTTACGAGATTTCCGGTTGGCCCTGGACCTCCTCCTCTCCCTGGGTTGGGCTCGTGCAGAGGGGCCCTGTGTGGCTGATCTCACGATGCGTTCCATGATCTCGTCAGCAGCGTCTTCACCGGTGATCTGAGCATCTTCAACGACCGGGGTCCGAGCTGGCATGATGCGCCCTGAACGCAGCGTGAACAACTCTTTACTATCTATTATTATGCAGACACTTGCAGTGCTACTGAAATAAGATTGAATTTAATGTATATTAATTGGGATTTCTACCACCCACCCCTCATTTCATGCATAGGTTGTAGAAGGAGTGGACTTACTGAGGTCTGACAGCCTCATTACAGAAGAAGCCAATTAGGGCAACATTTAGAAGCCAAATTTAGTTATCAGTTTATGAAGTCATTAAAACAAAATGCTGCTTTGCACAAACATTGATACATTTTATGCCATAAAATAAACAGATACAGTCTCAGATTTCAGTCATAACCTTTCAAACTTTCACACAACTTACACTCATACCCACTCATGTTCTGGACTCTAACGTCCCTGTGCTCATACTGTTGCTTAGGTGCTACTACAGAAATTACAAAATAAAAACATCAGGATCATGTAGAGTGTTAAACTCATATTCTAAGACCAAAATTGTGAATGTGACATGAGCGATTACAGAATAAGAGGACTTTACTTTTCTACTGTAAGTGAATCCCTTTAGGCTCCATAGAGCTAGTGGGTTAGCACTGTACATTCAAATATACAGTCTATGGTTGTAGGTCCACATTTCCATTATTCCTTTCCTCTCGTCTCACCTCCGCGTCCTGGCCGAGAGCGTATGCGGGTCCGTAGTCCTGGTACTCCAGTCCCCTCTTTCTCTCCTCCACTAAGACTGTTTCTAAGGACGGCCTTCATGTGCTCGTGTTCTGCTGCATCTTCAGCATGACCCAGGCCTTGAGGCTGCTCGCGGTCCTGGCTGACACTAGGAGCACTGGTACTAGCGCTGGAGCCGCGTCGACCACACTGAACACAAACACATCGACAACAATATTACCAAACATGTATGTGTGATATAGTTCATGCAAAGTAGCAGAAGCTTTAGAACAGGGGTGTCAAACTCATGTTAGTCAGGGGTCAAATTCAAAAACATAAGATTTGGTTGGGGCCAGAAGTTTAAAGGTGGTTTTCTTTTTATAATAAGTTTTATTTTCTTAAACATATTTTTTCCTTTTGACAAACTAGCTGTATTTAACATGCGTTTCGATATTATTTTGGATTTGGATTCAACTACAACTGGACCAAATATCAAGTAGAGATCTATACAAAAGCTGATCCAGGGGCCACTAAAAATGGTCTCACGGGCTGGTTTTGGCCCACGAGCCTGAGTTTTACATGCCTGCTTTAGAAGCAGCCAGGTCAGCACTGAATAAAGAGGTTTAAAGATTGGAAACGTGGTCCATGCTTTAGGTAAACATGCAAAAAGGCAGCACGCAAGGTGATACCTCAATGTCCTCTTCATCCTCAGACTACAGGGAAGAACAAGTGGAAACCAAGGAAATGGAAGGAAATGTAAAGCAAGGGGTCAGGTGGAGTTTCAGTGAAAATGAAAAGAGGTAGAGCAGAAACAAAAGGATGATATTTGAAATGCGCGACACTCACGGGAGCATTGACATCGATGATCATCTTCCCTCTGGTTTTGTTGCGCTCGCGGTGGTCAGCTCGTTTCTGCTTCTGTTGCAACACGCGCTCTCGGGTGGTTCTATATTCTAGTGCAAACTCGCTCAATATTCTACTAAATCTATGAACACTGATTTCTCTAATGCTGTAGGCTGGTTGACCAAGGAACAGCAGGAATGAATGGAACCTGCAGAAAAAAAACAAAAGAACATTTGTACAGATTGAAGCAGCTGGAAAGACAAATATGGAAAAGACACTACTGAAAGGCACACCTATTTATAAGTCTGCGGTGAACGATCTTGAGGATGATTATTCGCTCTGCGCTGTCTTTTAAGAAGTCGGACATCTTTTGTTTGAGCTGAGGCTTCATCTCGTGTTTGGCTATCACTTTCAGGTGGTCCCAAGAGGCTTTGCAGCGTCGCTCCATTTGGCACAGGTTTTCTTGCAGTTGATCAAAATCCACCTGGAAATGAAACCGGTCAAAATAAGCTTCCATACTATGAATATGCATCTTCAAAGTTTAATATGCAGTACTTTTGCTATTCTTGTGATGGCGCCAATTTCGGAGTAGAGATCTGTGCTTTGAGGGAAGTTTTCCACCACGATAGAGCAGGCGTGATGCAGTAAAGACTGCTTGTGTACGGTGTCCTTAACTTCAGGTACCTTCTCCAAGTATGTCAGCTCAAAACCTTTTGCCTGTTTAAAAAAAAAAAAACATTGATATTAATTTAAACTTACATATCATTTCACATTTTCTGGTTCATTAGCTGAATTAGTGCTGTTGCATGTACAATAGTTAAAGCTGAGATACCCAACTTCTCCATTTCATTATTAATACATCATTGCATCATTATCAGAATGATCCCTGTGAGTCACTATCTGACGCTATAGGCTGGGAGCTGATTGGCCAAGTAAGGGTGGTCCTCTCTTTTTCACTTTTCTGTGTGAAAAAGCTGATCTAAAGATGTGACAAAAACCAAAAATAGATGCATGTGAAACTAGTAGTATAGAACAAAACTTTTTTTAGAGCAAGGAACTAGAGGGATTTTGTCATGTAGTTCCATTTTTTGTTGTTTAAAATGTAGGTACCCCAGCTTTTTTCATATGAAAGCATCAATAAAAGGCAATGAGCGTGCAAGTGTGACTTACGTTGCTCCCATTGAGGAAGTTTCCGATTGAAAGCAGGGTCGAGAGGATGCATCGAAGGGTTTTGTTTTTCTCCAGCTGCTCCATTCCTTCTTTTAGATCCTGCAGCGGTTCAGCTACTTCCTGGGATAAAGAATCGCACACCCCTCATTAACCGAGTCTCTCCACACGCCCAACTCATGACTCAGTGTGCAGTGATCCGGAGCAGGTGCAGTTTTCTCTTCACTGTGTTAGTTTGAGTCCTGGGCATAACTATTACGTTGATCTCAATCAGTATCAATTTGCATGTGTGATTCAAAATGTATATCACAAAGTGACCACATAATAATAGATTGTCACTTATAACCATGTTATTTTTTTTGTTATGATTTTATTATATGATTTTATTATTTAACCTATGTTTAGTATATTTTATTTGATTTTACTTACGGCGCACAAACTAATTTTCTATTACTAAGGTTTTTGTGTGTGTGCAGCACTTCAAATTGTGAAGATGGAGAGGTGTTTTTTGTCTCTCACCATTGGTGTAACTATTCCCCCCCAAAAAGGTATGAAAGTCAACAACCCCTACTGTATACAATTAAATATAGTAATAATGTGAAGCTTCAAAGAAGCTGAAATTAATGTAATGTTGTTTATTTGAATATTTTATTGTGCGATTTGATCTATTATCACTTAATGATAATGTTTGTGAAAAAATATTGGGAATATTGAATGCAGACCTTGTAAAAAGCAGTTGCGAACAGGCATGCACATAAAGTTATGATGTTATGAGGTAACCGTGAAGCTGTTTTGTTTGTTTTCTGTGCTGGGATGTTGATACATGGACCTCACATCTCACACGTGTTCTGCATATGTGTTACATTACATGCTACGTAACAGGTGGTTTTAATGTCCAGCTGTGGTTTAACTTGGCATGGAACCCTTGACAGAACGTTTTAGTACACCATTATTATGTTTACAAGCAAACTACGTCTTTAAAAAACTTTGAATTTTGGCAATTTATGTGGCATTCTATATCTGTGTTTTGACAAACCTTCTCCGTTGCCTCGTAGTCCATTTTAAAAGCCCAGAGCTGGAGCCTGGCAGAGAGCTCGCTGATGGAGGACAACGTGAGGAGGAACTGCTCTGCGGAACCCAGGGGCAGATCCGGATTTACCAGCTGCGCCTCCTGGATCCTCTGCTTCTCCTCCTCAGTGGGAATCATGGTCAGGATTTTCTGCCAGAAGAAGCAGACAGTCAATTGTATGTATTGTACTCGTACTCATACATAACAGAATAGACTGAGCACTGCTGAAAACTGGATCACTCGTCAAGTCCAGTTTACCAACAGATGCATTTAAAGGCAAAGGTAAAGGTGCACTTTATTGATCCCCGTAGGCAATTCATCCTCTGCATTTGACCCATCCTGATGCCACTAAGGCTTACGTAAGGAGCAGTGGTCACCTTAGTAACAGCGCCTGGGAACTCATCTCCAGATGTTTATGCTCGGCTTGGTTAGGAGTGGACTAAGCTGGAGGATTTACCTAGTGTGCATGTTTGTAGAGTTTAAGAGCACAAGGGAAAGTCATGCTTATATTGTATGAGCAATATCAAATGTACTGTATGTGTTAGGACGCATATAGGCTACTAATTTTGTTCATAGCGATGAAGTATACAGGAAGTTTTGGTTTTGTTATATGTGGAAAAAGCAGGATACATTATGTGTTTATTAGCACTGTAGATATCAAATGTGCTTCTGGTGTCGTGTGAAAATCAAATGCTCAAAGTAAATGTAAGTGTTAGTGTGATTACATTTGGCAAAAGTGTGTTTATGCAGTATATATTCAAAATCATAATTATGATTTTCATAGCCTTTGTAAGCAATACGAAGTCACAAACTAGGAATTTGCTTTATATAGCACAGACAAGTAACAAAACAGTTAAAAATAGATATAAAATCAAGGATAAAAAAATCTAAATATAATTCTAATACTTAGTACATAGTAAATTCAAACAACAGACATTTAACAGTGCAGATCATCAAGTGTCCAGAGGTATGATACTTTAATACCATAGCAATAGTATTGACAATTACTGCAAAGTCTGAGTGGTCAGGCAAAGAGACACGACGCCTTTGAAAGCATCACAAGGATCCATCTGCTCAGCTGGGTGTATGGAGCTGTGACCTTAAAGGGGTCAGACCGATTTGGAAATAACGGCAAATAGAGCTTTCGCCGTATTCTTATGTTTTGTGAACGTACAACTCACCTCTATGCCTTCTTTGTTGAGTGCATATTCGTCAAAGTTCAGTATGGCTGTTTTGATTGTGCGAGGTGGGGGCAACACGGTGAGGCCGATGTTTATGGCATTACTTCTTTTAGAGTCCAATACAATTATTTCTGTCCGCTTTCCATCAGCTGCTGTTTTCTGTAACACACACAAACAGAAAATATACATGTCACTTTCCTTATGCCGGTCGAGTGAAGTATACAGTACATAGCAGTAACTTACTTTTGTCACTGCCATTTCCTTTGACTTGGACTCAAATAGATGCTCCAGTTTACCCGTGTCAAGCTTTACATTCTCCAGCTTGGACCAAAAGGAGTCCCCCCTCCATTTGTGGCTATAGTGAGAGTCATTCGGATGAACCTGAACAGCACAAGAAGTTAAGTTTAGGTTTCATTAAAGCTGGGGTACATAACTTTTTTTCCATTAATAATGCATTTTGTTTGTCCCAACCGAAAGAGAAGGTAAAAGTAAAATGTATCTTTATCGTGTTGAAAAATATTGTGCATACTTGTAAGAAAGAGTCTGTAAGTCATTATTTGATGCTTTGCGCTGAGAGCTGATTGGCTGAAGGAGGGTGGTCCTTTATTTTGAACTTTTGTGTCTGAAAAAGCTGATTTATAGGACAAACAATACATGTGTGTGAAAACTAGAGAGAGACCTAAACTGTTTTGTGAGCAAGGAACTAGTTATACTAATTTGATGGGTTTTTTTGGTCAAAAGTTACGTATCTCAGCTTTAACAGTTACAATACATGATAACATGAACTACTGCCCACCTCACTCCAAAAAAGCCTTATGGTTTTCTTCTTCTTGTTGAAGAGTGGTGGCTCAGGAGGTGGGGGCACAAGAGCTGGCATATTGAACATGGGAGGAGGAGGAGGTCTCATGGCCCCCATCAGTGGAGGAGGAGGAGGACCACAGCCCAGTATCGGAGGTGGTGGAGGTAACCGTGGAATGAAGGGTAGGGGAGGAGGCGGAGGGGGCATGTCTCCACAACCCCCCATCAAAGCAGCATCGAGGGCATTCTTGTCATCGTCCTCCGTCAGGTCGGTGAAGTTGATGTCGCCGATGCGCAGCTCTCGGGGGCTGGCCAGCAGCTGGTCCCAGATCGTGTCTGACTCCTTCTTGGGAGGAGGCGGAGGAGGGGGAGGAGGCTCGTTTGGCGCCTCTTGTAGTATGTGAGCGGAACCCAGGTCCTTCACCAAGTCCCCAAAACGTTCTGCAAATTCCCGAATGCTTCTGCGCCCATGCTGTTCTAGTTTGTTATCACGATCCTGACTCTCCTCCTCCACAACCTCCTCATGGCTATCCTCCTCTTCTCCCTTTTCTTTCCCCAACTCCTCCCCTTCTTCCTCACTGGCCTTTTTATTATGAGAGTAAAGCATATCCAGCATGAAGAGCTTGCTGTCGATAAGTTTGTTGCAAGGCTCCTTCACTTCTTGCTCCTTAAAGCCTGGAGAAGAGAGAAATTGTGAAAATGGGGCAGTAAAATAAATAACTTTCATGTTCACTACCTGCAAAATACTTTATTTCTTTGCGCCATGGGGATTCGCAGTTGGGGAAGTAGCTGAGGATTGTGATTGTATATACACTACTTGCGTATGTTTTTTGGATTGGGGGTTCGCTCCCACAGAAGCTGTTGTGTGTGTTAATTGTATATGTGTGTGAATCTCAGGAAACCTAAGGTGATTTTTAAACTTCAAGGATCACGAAAACACTTGAAACCACCGGCCTCAATGTTTTCAATGCACAAAATCAATAGAAATTATTGCCATCTGCTGGTTGTTTGCAGAACTGCACAATTTAAACGAGCAGGAATTTGAGAGCTCTTTGATCATTCGACTTTTCAAAATCAACAAATAAGGCTTTGTTGAATTTAAATACTCTCATATTAGGCTCATATAGTTTTAGATTGTGTGCACCAGAACTCTCAACAAGCAAAGAATTATGGTATTGTGTAGGAAGCAAATTATAAACAAAATTGATTATGAATAAAGTAAAGTACTGCACATAACAAATAATTTAGCTGTGCTCTTAATTTGTCCAACAATTATAAACACAATCTGGATCTACAATTTCTCAAAATAGCGAAATATCTAAGGATTCCAACAGACAACATCCGTTTATGCTCTAAGCACCTCCAAGGCGCAAAGCATTATGGGTACTATGTAAGTGGCAAATACAATGTTTGAAGACTAACCGTCGTCATTGCTAGCCCTCTCTTCTCTCTCCAACGTGCTGCTGGCAGAGGAGATGCTGGATGCAGAGCAATTGTCCTTCTCATTCAAGTCCTCATTTTGTCGCTCTTTGTCGCTGAGGATCCCGGAGTCTTCCTCTGGGTCCTGAGTCTCTGCCTGTGGCTCGGGCTCACACTCCTCCTTCGCTGCTTCTTCTTCTTCCTCTTCTTCCGCTTGCCTTTCTTCTTCAACGGGCTCTTCCAGTTCTATCTGCTCCTGTTGTGGTTCTGGTTGCACTTCTTCCTCTACTTCTATCTGCTCCTCTACCACTACCTGCTCCTCCTCCTCTCCCTCCTCTGGTACTTTCTGCTCCTCCTCTTCTTCAGCCGAGGCCTCAGCTTCCTTCTCCTCTTCTACTCTGGCACTGGAGTCATCGGCCTCATCTTCAACACAGACAGAATTGTATGACTTTGCTGTATTTTAAAACTTCAACATCACATACAAAAATATTTCAAGCCATTTTAGTTTTGGAAGGTCTGTAAATTAGAATATTGTTCAAAAGTCCATTTATTTCCACAGTTTAACCTACATCATGAAACTAATATATTGCAAACTCATTGCATGGTAAGTGAGATACATGCACTTTATTATTATTTCTAGTAACTTTTAGAATTTTGTATCTGTTTGTATGGATGATGTGTTTCTGCTGCTGGACACCTGAATTTCTCCAACGGGGATCAATAAAGTAAGTGTCTATCTATTTATCTATCAAGCTATTATTTGCTTGATACAGGGTAGAAAAAATAAATAAATCACCTTTTGAACGATATTCTAATTTTCTGGGTTTCACCTGTATGTAGTAGTTTTGTATGGCTATGTGACAGCGCCTTATCAACACGAAAGGGAAAAACATACAAGCTCATGCACTAAAATAAACAATGTTACAGACAGAAAGGTGGGTTGTCACTAGCAGGAAATGATCAGGAAATGAAGAATTAAGTTCCTGTTTATGTGAAAACACACAGGGGTACATGTCGCACACAGGTGAGTGAAGTACAGTCCACGTAGTGATGCAGGCAGGGTTAAAATAACATGACGATGTGGACCCGCACACTGAGCCACAGTACCTCAGCTCATGGCTCTGCGTGCACTCGGGTCCAACACAAGGCTGTTTACTTACGCAAGATGTTTGGCAACTCTTCTTAAAAGCTCTTTCAAACACCCTCTTGACCCTTTCACCCACATTGCTTATTGGTGGAGACGTCCACAGAGCTTCCCTCCCATTTACATTTTTCACAAATTTATTTTCCTTTTGCCATCGTGACATGACACCATGTTTCAATTTACATTCTTTCAAGCTTCAAAACTGAAGGCAACTTGGAGGTTTCTCGACTACAAACCTTATATGTTCCTATGTCCCATATTATCTACATTTACCACATGATGCAGTGGATGAAGCAAAACCAAACCACTTTTAACGTATGAAACTTTTTTGCTTTAAGGATGTGTTTCTACAGCTTTTGAAATACATCTCTTGATAGATTGATTCATGCATTTTGTTTGTTCCCACAGAGAAAGTCTTGTTGAAGCAACAGGTTGTGAACAAACAGACCACCAACATGCTTTTCTTTATCTTTTACATTCTGAGAGCTGATTGGCTGAGTGAGGGCTGATCCTCTCTGTCTGAAAAAACAGACCTAGAGATGTGATAGAGGCCAAACATACAAGAATGCATTTACTAGTATAGAAACATTTGAGAGCGAGGGTCTACTTAGATGGATTTGATTACAAAGTTATATTTGTGTAGTTTCAAAGTTAGGTACTCCAGCTTTAGGACTCACTCTTCATTGTTTAATGTGGTGTTTGTAATGTTTATGTCTGTAGAAGTTTTTGCTTTGTTTTCATGTGTCCTGCCTAGGGACAACAGATGGAAACCAGCATTTATGTCTGGGATATTTACACTGTATTTATAGATTACTGAAATAGATAAATGAAAAAAATAATGAATTATAGATACTTTTTAGTAATCCTACTTGATATAACAAAGATCACTAATGAGGACACAAAATGGGATATGTCCATATATACAGTAGAAGGTAAACCTTCCTCAATTACGGAGCGCGGTTTGTTTATTCAAGAGTTTCAAGCCAAATAACAGGCCTTCATGATTTGAAGGATTTCGTAAAGTCTTGTTCCAATTTAAAGATTTAATATTTAGGGTGTATTTGCTTTGACAACAGAGGAAGGTTTCTATGGTATGAATACACACTGGGTAAAATCACCCACCAAGACGATTGTGAGAAAAGAGGGAAATACTGATGGAAAATGCCTGTACTGAAGTGTCCTACCGGTGTCCTCGGTGGGTGTGTCGGGGGCGGGAGCTTCTGTCTCAGCGTCTGCGTCTCCGTCGTCCAGGGAGGTGAAGGAGGATGGAGTGCTGCTGCGAGATGATGCGGGCCAGGCCTCCGATGGTTCAAAAGTCTGGTCAAAGTTAGGACGTGTTCTTGATGGCTTAATGCGATCCCTTTCAAACTCCTCTGCAGCAAGACGTTCCACGTTTTTGTACCTGAGTTTGGAAATACTGATGAGAAACAATACGACAACTCTACTAATACAGAAAACAAAGATTTTTAGCATGTTCTACATAAAGGACTTTGTGAGATTTTAAATAAGCCACAACATCCTCATCAAAAACATACCAGAAGTTCTTCTTAGATCCATCCAAGCTAATGTAAGTAACCACTAGTACAAACATATTTACAAGCTCCTGTCTCATTCCTGTGAAAGTCTTTCTTTCTTTTTAAACAAAAGTAGTGCTCTTAAATTTATATTTGGAAATTTCTCAACTGAATTGAAATTCTTTACGATCACATAGATGTGTTTGCAGGTGGTAATTTATACTTCATACTTGTTTCACTATTTATTTCTACTCAAAATATTATTTCGCATTCCAAAACATGAGATAATTAATACATTAAGTCTCATTATCAAAAACTATCCACAAGATTTCTCAAGACAATAATGTGGTACAAAGGAGTGAGGTAAAACAATGAAATAAGCGGGTGAAAATGAAATCAAACCTGTTTAATGCACTTCCATATCAGCTCTCTGCTCAGCTTTCTCTCCTCTCTGCTGTGGTCTCTTTCCTCTTGATTCACCAAAAGCATTTAAACTGCCTACATTGAACTTTGCCAGGATGGAGAGCTCTGAATCGACCCTTTGCCTGTAACCCCTCCTCTTTCTCATCCAGGCGTAAATGTGTGGCGCTTCTGTTCAGAGGTCATTAGCAAAAGACCACTTCAGAGACCAAAGAAACGGGATACTCTGTGCTCGTGCAAGTGGTCTCAGGATATTGTATTGGTGTTATAGTCATCATCATAAATCCAACCAGTGTGTACATTAAAACACATATACTGTAAGTGGCAACTATGTTTTCATGAATAGCATTTTTGTGATCTCACGCAATCACTGTCTGAATGTATCACACATAGATGTCAAATTACAAACGGGTATAACTTCAACAGACTTTCAATCAATAGCCAGTTAAAATGTTTTATATGTTTAATTCAAGACCCGTATGAATTTATAATAGAAATTGGTAATAAGAGATTCCCATGTAAAAAAGAGCTGCTGGGACCATTTGCACATAAATTGAGCGTAAAAAAGCTTGACCAATTCTGATTTAGAACGTGAATATAAACAAGGCTTTGGCAGCTCCTTGGAGAGGAAAGCTCAGAGGAGAACAAATATAGTGGGTTCAGTATCCTCTCAGTCTGGCAGCGCTGGGACTCTTTTTAACCTGAAAACAATTAGCCTATTACAGCGCTCCTAAACCTCGCAGTGAAATGTGTTCCCCCTGGGTATAAATGCATGCGTTGTTTTGATTTAGTTCACGCACTCACCTCTCCTCTCGGGCAAGTCGGGCCTCTTCCATTTTGTCCACATAGTCGCGGCTGTAAGAAACACAAAGACAAAAATGTTCTTGCAAAAATAATCACAATGTGTTGCATGACTTGACGGAGCGAAAATTGTGCAATGTTTGTAGAGTAGACCCCCATTCTCTACTGGAAAGGTGTAGGGACCCACCATCCAGATATAACACCAGGCCAAATGAGAAAGGAAAGTTGTATAAATAAAAACAAAATACTATATTCCTAAGCATTAAATAATACTACAACGCAAACATTCTGAAAAAACTAACTCCAACAGACTATGGAATCAAGCCAATAGATAACATTTGAAGTAAGTAATTGTGTCTTTGTGTTCAGTAACTGATTTCCAGAAATCTTAATATCAGATCTGTATTTGTATTGCACTTTTTAAAAACAGTAAAGCAATACAAGTCAATAAAAAATAAATAGTGGACACATTAGTCTTCATCAAGACAATTTTTCTTCCATAAAAAAAGAAAATACTAACTTTTTAGCAGTGTAATAGATTAACTAAAAGAAAAATGTTTGCCAGAAAAGGCTTGCGACCCGCTGAGCCACTAGTGTGTAGAGATTATGGTGTACAGTGCATCAGGCCTGTCAGTTGGCCTTTGTGTAATTTATTGCTCTATGAAGCTATTTTTATACAAGTCACCTGTGCTTGTTCCTCTCCTCGCGCTCAATCCTCAGCAGGCGCTCCTCTCGCTCCACACGGCGCCGCTCTCTCTCCGCCGCCAGAGACTCCTGGTGCTGACGATATGAGGACGAGAGCAGACCCCCCAGAGCAGGCCTATACAAAATACAAACAGACACATTACAATACATTTAGGCACTTACAGTAAAGCAGGTTGGAAACATGACAATAATCAAAAAAGAACTTCAGCTGAATAGTCTGAACATGTAGTTGTGTCAAATCATTGTCAGAACACACTTATCCTTTATGCAAACACCCATTGATACTTAATGCATGTTGGGCTTGGAGTAAAAATAGTTTGGAAACCACTGATTTTGAGCTTCTATTCTTGAGTGCTATACAATGTGCAATTACCAAGCAGAATATAAATGAGTTATATTATAAGTTCTTATTTTATTTTTAGGAGCTGTATACTTTGCTCAAATTTAAAAACATTTGTTTATTCCAACAAAAAGAGTGATGTAAAAGTAAAATGTTGTTAACAAATCAGAACACAACATGTTCTCCCTATCTTACTCTGCGAGTCACTATTTGACACTGAAAGCGGATTGGCTTGTGAGGGTGGTCCTCTCTTTTGCGCTTTTCTGTCTGAAGACCAAACTGTTTTGATTGCTAGTAACTATAGTTAGTAACAGTAAGTTTATTTGTATACGTTTATGTTCCTCAGCTTTATGAAATATAGCTGTAGCATGACCATTTTTGACAAAGCAACACATTTACAACTTTAGTCATAATATCCATATACTGCTGTAGTATTCATTGCTTATGGGTTCCTTTGACTGACCTTGTGGGTGTGGGTGGGGTACTTGCGGATGGGTAAGACGTAAAACCACCATTCCTGAAGAAGAGAGAAATAGATGACAGTGAGTTACCGCTGACCTGATGCCGGTCGGTCACCTCCTTACATAAGAGGAATGCTGTTATTGCAGCAGTCAAGAGTCACCCTAATTAGCAACAGGAGGGGTGGGCATTTTCTTTTTGTGAGTTTTAAGTAATCATTGAGTAGAAGGAGTTGGAAACATAGCTGCAATTGTAGAAATGCATTTTATTTTTTGATAACATTCCACTACACAAATGTAAAGGAAATCCCAGTTAGACCTGAGAAGGATGTAAAAGAAGCAAAGAAGGGAAATACACTGGCTTAGGATGGGGTGGACAGGGTTGTGAAGGTGGACAGGATTGTGAAAGTGAAAAGGAAGCTCCATTCAGCAAAGAAGTTTACTTGTGACAAAGTGATCAAGAAGGATGTGACCGAAAGTCCAAAGTGGTGGGGGAAAACAAGAAGTGAAGCAGAAAGAAAAGTGAGATGTTAAAGCAGGAAATCCATCGCAGAGGGCTTGTAGGAGTCCGTCTGACCTGGAAGATGTGCTTTTGGGTGAATCTTCTTGAGGTTTTCCCGATGATGGCTCCTCATCCAGGTCATAGGAGAACAGGTGAAAGGGTGAGTGGGGGGAGTACAGGAGGCGGTCAGGAGAGGGGCGGCTGGTGCCTCGCTGCGGTGGACTGACCTCCTTGGCGGCTGGGACAGTCACTGTAGACTTCTTGCTGGCCAGCAGTGAGGCCAGAATAGAGGGTTGAGATAGGGGGCTGAGAGGGGACTTAATGATTGGGGGAGAACTAGATGAAGACTCCTTTGGTAATGATTGCGGTTTATTAAGGCTGTTGTGTATGTCCTCTTTTAAACAATCCTTCCTGGAAGTAATGGAGATGGACTGACAAGTTGTTCGGTGGACAACAGGAAGGATGCGTCGGACCTGGCTGTGGGGGAAATGCAGCGCAGGAGAAAAAACATCAAACATTATTTTGCTGCTTGAACTGTATTTGATGCAAACTGACATACTCTCATGAGTGCTTTTCAAATAAATGTTGTGCCCTTGAGTTTGTTATTTATGGTTAATATGTGAGGATTATACTATTACTTTATTTAGAAGTTGGGAGTAGTTGGGGTAGTACTTATAACTTCCTCACGTTCCTATACCTGAGTGAGGTCTCACTACACACTGTTTGAGCCCCACCAAGCTCATCTGAGTCTGACTCAGTGACTGGAGACTCCTCGTCTTCATAATCCTCACTCTCCTCTTCTCTGCAGACGCACATGAAGTGAGAGTAGAAGACAGATGCTCATAAAAAGTAGTTTAGAGAAAAGAAGTTGAAACAAACACAGAAACAATGGAAATTGATTGAATATAGAAGCAAATTAGATTAGTAAAGCAGAAACAAATGATGTGATCATGCAAACGCGTGTGCACAGCACACAGAGAAGAGAGGTGGGAAGTTTGAATCTAGGGGCGATGCAGCCGTTTTTCTATGAAACTCACTCATGTTAATTTCTATCAGTGGAAGGAATACCAGGGCCTCATGTGCCATGTTACAGTACATAGGGTTGGGCAGTGGTTGTAATTGAATGCATTGAAGAGCGCAAAGGTCAGGTCCAGACCTTTTCTGGGTCACATTTCATGGACTTACATAGACTGCAGACAACCTGACAGGGCTCTGGCACAGGGTTCAATTACAACAGCATAAGAAATTCAGGAAATACTTGCAATTTTACAATTGAGTGTAACATGGCCTCACCTGTCACTCATGTCCTCTGTCCTGTGTCCACTGAGTGGAGGAAGGCCAGCTCTCTGGGGAGAGGCCGGGCTGCAGGGGGAGGCGTGTCCAGAACGGTTCTTAGACGCTCTGCGGCTCCTCCGTCTCTGTAAACCAGGCCTCTTCTCGCCCAACTCCAAACTGGGCCTCCGCCGGTCTCGCCGGCCTGAAGGTGGAGGCTGGGTGTCATCTCCGTCTTCATGCCGTAGAGTCAGCTGATGATAGATGTGAATATTGCTATCATATGCATCAGTCACAAAAAAAATGTATCTAAAAAACCTCTTTTAACCTCATAGATGTTGAGCTGCTCCACTAGGTCCAAATCCGTGCCCTTTCGGCCCAGGTGCCTCTGGGACACAGTCTCCATTCCTTGTTCCTCCAAACTGTCCACCATGTCATAGAACGAGTCCTGATCCGGCAGTGTGGCCAGAGTCTGAAGTAGAAGCGCATTAAAAATCAAGTTGACTTGACCATATCATTATGGAATAAAGTTTTTGTTTATACCTTGTTGATAAGACTCATGGCGTACACCAAAAGCTCTGTATCCACGCCATCTTTTTCATGCAAGATTTCCATACAATTCGACCATGGTTTACTTTCTGAAGACAAATAAATATTCAAGTCAATTAAATACATATTTTAGGAAGCTCTGGGTTTAGAAAAACGGCACATAGTTTTCCACTACATTCCACAGTGTGCACCAAGGCATTTTGGTACCTCTCTGAGTGTCCACAGAGGTAATAGCCTCTATGAGCAGTGGGGCGTTGGACTCCGAGTACTCCACAAACACCAGTAACAACTTCAGGGCCGTCTTTACTACTAAACGGAACTGAGGGAGAAAACACAAAGTGACTGAAAATACCCTGTGTGCGGTTTTCATGAGGTTTGGGATACACAAAGCCTTACCTTGGAGCCAACCAGAGTGTAAAGCCACTCAATTGTCTCTGTGTGACCAATGACACCGTTCATCCCGTCCACATACAGCATGATCTGCCCCAGCGCTGAGAAAAGGGAGCAGACAGCTATTTTAGAAAGATGACTAAACACAGAAAACCATTGCACTAAATGACAAGTGTGCAGCAACTGTGGATGTGTTGATGGCTATAAATAACAGGGAAAGTCCTCTGGGCTGAGGTTTTGCTCCTGCATCAAAACAGTAAACAACAGCAAAAGTCCTCTTTTTGGATACAAGTCACAAGTCTTTTTGGATGTTATCATAGGTCTGCATTTTCTTCGTTGGTAGTGGATGATAGTTGAAAGTAACCAAAGACTCTAATTTAAAGGTGATATCTGACAATTTTGTATAGGAATAAATATTAGGAGATGCGACTCTTTGAAAATCAAAGTATTTTTCATAAATAAGACATTCGAAACAGCTTTCCTTTGTCATAACCACCGCCGTTTGCTGGAAGAAAATAGTTAGAGCAGGGGTCACCAACCCTTTTCAAAAGGAAAGCTACTTTTATAAAACAGAAATGTCAAAGAGCTACGTCTTTAAGCAGTCGTAATACCATTTTAGTCTATATAATAACTAGAGAACACACATTACAGTATCCCTGCATTAATGAAAATATTTAGGGTTAAAATAAAGAGGAAATGACTCAAAAGTAAATCATTCAGGACCAAAGGTTAAACTCTTCTATCCTTCAGGGAGCTACCTGGTAGCTCCCAAGCCACAGGTTGGAGACCCCTGAGTTAGAACAATGATGAGGGGCCTCAAATGTCTATTCAGGATTTAAATTCATTGTGTCCAATCAGGAAGCTGTGGGAGCGGAGCTAACTGGCTCTAAAAGCAAAATGTCTCATCATCCTAAACATTTAAAAAAAAAAGCAACTGAATTTAACTTTAATTCACTAAAACAGATTTGTAGACGTACCTCTGAGGATGTAGTTCTGGTAGTTCTGGTCGGCCTCTGCTCCCACTTTGATTAAACACGTTAGACCTTCGGCCATCACAAACTCATGCACCAGGTCTTTGTCATCCTTTACACAACACAGAACAGTATTATCTTATTGACAAGTACGCTTAATTTTTTTTTTTTTTATCAAGGGTTTGCTTGTGTGCAAGTAACTAGCTCCTCTTGACATTGGAGCCACCTGATTTACCACAGCACCACCTATAGATGTATTTTACTTTAGCATCTGGATTTATAAATACACCCTTTAGAAAGTCTTATGATGCACACTCTATATAAACAGCTATAAGGTTGTGTTTATTATGTGCCATTATTAAAAATAGTCTTTTTGTTTTTGATTTAGATTCAGTGTATACAGCAGCTACTTTCATAAATAGGAACTGTGACACACACAAACGCCCACACAGCGACATGGATCCCACAGAAATGCCACGTTGATGGACATCCCTGTCATCATGGAAGTTCAGTGGCCACATCTTTCTGACAGACAAAGATAGACACCAGTCCACACAACAAGCTCATTTTTACCTGAAAAATCTGCTTCAGGGAGAACAGCGCTCGCCTCAGGTCACGCCCATTGGAGTTATACAGCTTTTCTGTAGAGCAAAAAAGATCAGATCAATAATAGTAAGTAGTAAGTAGCAACTTTTCTGGAGAAAAACTTCAGATCTGTGAATAGGCAATTTGGCTCAATAAAAAAGTAGCTTTTAATATTATGCCTCATAATGCCATAATGCCTCAGACTTGTAAAGAGCTTTAATGATAATAATGAAAATAATGAAGCATCAGTTTTATGTAGCAATTTTCAGTACACTCATAGCGGCTTCACATGTCACTACTATTTCACTCCCCTCCGACCACCACCACCAACCATTCACACACCAGACTCATTCTGGCCAAAGCTAGACAGAAACTGGATCGAAGATCTCTTTATTTATTATATTGTACATTAGTGTTACCGTATTTGAGCTATTGTGCTGAGGTTTGGGGAAACAATTACAAAACTGCTATAGACCCATTAATTTGTCTTCAGAAAAGAGCTATCAGGATCATTCACAAAGTGGGTTTCAGGGAGCACACAAATGATTTATTTAAACAGGCAAAAATACTAAAATTCAATGATCTAGTTGATTATCTAACAGTATTAATAATGTACAAAGCAAATTATAACAAATTACCTAATCAAATTAAAAAAAAAATTGTATCTAGAGATGGTGTATATAACTTAAAAGGTAAATTTAAATTCAAACCTGCGAGAGCAATTACAACTAGAAAGAGTTTTTGTGTCTCTATCTGTGGGGTGAGGCTCTGGAACGCCATGAGTGAGGAGCTGAAGGGATGTCCAGACATGAGAAAATTTAAAAAGGAATACAAAGAAACCATTTTGGTTTGAATATCGAGCCAATATATTTCCTATATATTGTTTGCCCTTAAAAAGGGCAAATAAAAGGAAAATAAAAAAATAAAAATAAAAACTATATATATTTAGATAATCAAAACAGAAAACATGTAGATGTGTTCACATGCCTATAGTGTATATGCTGATAAGTGTAAATGTGTTAATATGTTTATAGGCGTAGACGTGTATATGTATGTATGTACATGTGTTTATGTATATGTATGTATGCATGCATGCATGCATGCATGTATGTATGTATGTATGCATGTATGTATGCATGTATGTATGTATGTATGTATGTATGTATGTATGTATGTATGTATGTATCTGTGTATATGTGTATATGTGTGTATGTGTACAGTATGTATAGTGTATATATGTGTATTTTTGATATAGATGTATAGACAGAGAGAGAGACTATAAATGTATCATTATTTATTTTATTATCATTATTATTATTTGTATCTTCTAGCATAGGTTAAGGTGAAGTACGTTTGCTAATTTGCAAAAAGCAGAAAAATCTACTGATGACAACGAGATATAGCCTACAGGGGTGGGAGTATATAAGTTTTACTTCTTCTCACTCCTTTTTCGAGTTGATACTTAGTTATTTAAAATAAATGTGTATTGTAAATCTCAGTTGTGTATATTGAACTCGAAATAAAAACATTTCATTCATTCATTCATTCTAGGCAATATGGGGGAAGTGTCTTGCCTAAGGACACAACAGTAGTTTGGTACTTTACACCCGCAGCCGCCCCACTGAAGCAACTGCTGTTACCAGAGGTCTCCCATCGCAGGACTAACCACGCCCTGCCCTGCACAACTGGCTTTCACATGCAAGTACGGCCATTTAACCAACGAATCAAAGTCAAGTCAAGTTTAAAATGAAGACATTTCAAAGAATAAATAAAATATAGATAAGTTAATTGTCATAGTGTGGGGCAGATGCAAAGCTGAACTCTCGCTACAAAAGTTACACAGTGCTCCTTTAGAATTTATCTACACCTAACCAAGTGAAAAGTACAAGAAAACATTCTAATAATCACTTACAGCTGAAAAACAATATCTATGCACATACAATAGCTCAAAATTAAAGTCAAAATGATAAGAAGGGCGGTTACTGGAAGCATATTGCACGCGGGACACAATCCAGCAATAGCACAGTCACTGCAGCAGCCACTTCATCACTGTGTCGCTGCCTCCTCACTCACACGTGCAACACTGTAGGACACACACACACACGCAGACAAACACACACACAGTACTTGCACATTCTCTGTCTCGCACACACACACACACACACACACACAGTAATAGTGATTAGAGCTGTATCGGAATGTTAATGAGCGGCTGGCCTGGCTTCAACAGTGAGGTATTCAGGTCACGACACGGAAAGATCTCATAAGCTGCGACTAGGTCTGATATCAGCCCCATTATTCAGATGCAGGAACATAAAAGTATCAGTAGAACAAATGACATTGTCTGTTATATAATCCATGTATCTATTCATATATGATCCAGTGAGATGGCGCTCATAACATAATGTGATTGTGTAATCGGATTTGCAATCGATTCAGACGATGCAGAAAACAGCCCTGATATCTGCCTCTGCAATTATAATGGGCTCAATCTTAGATAATTTCACATTTGCGCATAAACTGATGTGCACCTGAGAGAGTCAGCGGCTTGTTTTGGTAACCCGTGTGCACAAATCTCTTGTTTGCATGCTACGGACAAAGCCTCTCGCCGGTGGACAGGAGGTGGATGCAGTAAAAGCCACATACTGTAGGTGAGGGCAGAGCGGGACAGTGGCACACCCCCTGATGGGAGCGAAAACCAGTCCTGTTCTGCAAGGCTTACAGAGGAAAGCACAACGCTCATCCCAGCCAGGATTCAAATGATTATTATTCCCTAAAAACTCATGGGCCAAATCTCTGCATCTGTGAGCTCCTCAGTGAGATCCGCAAAGCCAAATAAATCAGTGATGCTACATGAGAGCACTGAGGGCAAAGGAGGATTTATGGGAATTTTAGAAGAAAAAAATACAAGAAATACAGTACAAACAATACAGAAGCTATCTTCCTGGAAAAAAGTCCTCTTAATGCAGGGAGCACATACCCAGCTTCAGTCAAGGTCACGATCAGGCACTTGTAACAATAACCTTTGCAGTCAGGTCTGCTCAGTGTCAGCAACTTGTCAGCACAGATTAGCTTCACGTTTATATGGAAAAAGAGTATGGAACTTCCTGATACTGTAGTCCTAATAGTAACAACGGTTTCAAAGTCAAGAGTATGTTATGATGATGCAAATCAAAACCGAGAACTGTTAAACGATTGTCTTTGGGCCCCATGAGAGCATTATCTGTCATCTCCAGGTCCCCTATTTAAAACCTTCAAATCGCAACGTACTAACTGTAACATCAGGTGCTTTTTACCATAAAAAAACCAGCCAAAATCAAAAAGAAAGTTTCTAATGCAGACTTGGAGACGCTTATCTATGCGTTTGTCTCCAGTAGGTGGAACTGGTCTCTCCAAACAAGCCATAAATCAGTTGCAGTATATAGAAAATCAGCAGCTTGAGTCCTGACAAGAAACAGGAAGTACCATCACATTAGTCCAGTCCTCAGGTCTCTGCACTGGCTTCCTGTGGCTCCGAGAATAGACTTTTAGCAGGTCTGCTTGTGTACAAATCTCTCCATGAGCTTGCACCAAAGTACATCCGAGACATGTTAGTGCCATATGAATATGAGTCTCCTGCTGGGACACTGAGGGGCACACGGACAGATAGGGATATTTCTAATCAAACAACCCAATTATGAAGATGTTCTCCTTTAGCTTCTGATCAAATGTTCAACAAATCACACATTCACTGACCTTTCATGATCCAAACAACTTATCAATTATCAAAATAACAATGAATTACAGCCCTAGTTATCTTTATGTATATCGCAAATACTTTCACAAATGAATGAATGAAATCTTTTATTAATTCGACAGTGGGGAAATTACAAGTTTATAGATGTGTTCTTAATAATCACTGGTGTAGTCCAGGGATTCCCCAAGGAACCTGTGCTTAGTGCTGCTGTGGTCCTGCCATAATGAGATTAACCTTCAGCTTGGACTAATCCTACAACATTTACTGCACAATCCTCTAGTATAAACAGCACCATAGCCACATTATATATCATTATATTTGTTCAAAGGTTTTTAATAGTTGAAAACAGGGGAATCAGATGCATTCATTCTCACATATTTCTCAAGATATTATCATACAATTGTGGCTTTACACCTGCATGTAAAAACCAGATTCTGTCAGACCTATGAGGCTAAGAAGGGAAGGGCCTGGTTAGTACCGTGAAGGGAGACCTCCAGAAACATCAGGTGCCACAGTGGGGCGTCTGCAGCTGCCGTTGTGTCCATAGGCAAGACGCTTCACCCACATTGAAGAGAATGAGTCTGGAGTGGTTGCCAACAAACATATGATTTTAAATTAAATAATTGAGTAATACTGAATTTCTCCCTTGTGAGATAATACAATACATCTCTCATACACAATAATAAATACACTGATTTTATTAGTACTTCATATAATTCACACCTAATCTGGGATCTAACAGCCATTATCTGATCCATGCTGTGTGTGCTCCCATGTCTATGGGTGTCATACAAAGGTAATGTCACAGTTGGGGGCCAGCCTTTATTTATACTGCTGACGTGTGTTTGAAACAGATTTGTAGATGCCCCTCAAAGAAGCGCAGAGCGGCTGTCTGGGCCAATCAGTCAGTTGGCTTGGAACTAGGTCTTCAGTGGGATCTAAAATAAAGAAGTGGCAATGACACATCCTGATCCTAGGAAGTCTCAGGCTAAGTGTCAGTATCACTTTAATTATAGAATGCAAAGTGAACTCTGAGTTTGGTTGATGCTGAGGTTGCACCGTGTATTGGAATTAGTGAAACAAAAACTTTATTTCAAAAGTAAACAATATTCCACACATTTTATTTCTGATATTAGTGTCTTTGGGTTGAACATGAACATTTGGGTCTATCAAGGCAACAAAATAATCTTTAATATTATTGTTATTGTTTCAGAATTCAGACAATAATGCACAACATACAAATCCTAGGTCAAGGCCACACAATCACACTGTTGTAAGGACCTTTTGTGGTTGCATGAATTGAGCTTGTTTCTTTTTGTG